GCTGAAATAAGTTAACAACTTCCAGCGAGACACATAAACTAGAGCGGACACTCGGTAGAGTGCATACCTATGCTAGACCACTTTAAATGTATATTTCCAGTGACCTTTTACCCCTTTACTCCAAATTTTAAATGCTAGACTAGACTAGTATGTAATCATTCATCTAAATTTTATGATGATCTATTCATTAGTTTTTGCATAATCCTATTAATAAACTAACAAATGGTGGTCAATATAACCTTCATAACAGAATTTTACAGTAGCAATTGATTTTTTGCTGACCTCTAGACTTTACACAGTGGAACCAGAACCTGTTGTTACCACCAGTTACAGTACCATAGGTAGACATGACACATACATTAGAACCCCTATGAAGTGGATACCTTTTGGACCAAAATATGTCTTCCCCCTAATAGGGGTGTCCCAAGATATATAGGGGTTGGCCGTAGCGTTAGATATTTTCCTTCATTTCATGGCCAATAAATTGCCCCCATAGTAAGGGTATCCCCTGAATATGGGTTGGCCATAATGTTATGTATTTTCCTTCATTTCACAGGCAGTAAAGTGTCCCCTTAATCAGGGTGTCCCCTTAATAGGGATGTCCCGAAGGAGGTGTTATCAATGAATGTTTTCAAAGACTATCTTTTTAGTGCCTGGTGACTTGACAAACACAGCCTATATTTGATAATACTATACACAAGTAATGTACTATGAAATTGACTCAGCGTTAATGTTATGAATCTCGCCACAACATTTTGGTCTAGTACCATAATAGGTAAAATCAATGTTTCCCTGTACTAGTACAAGATTGAACTATCTCCTGCGTAAGTTTTGAATGACATTCAAGTTGGTATTGATTAGTATAATTCGACCAGCATTCGTACTCTACCTATTTTTGCTTACTGTACATGTTTCCGATAGCAAGTATTTTCTTACATAATAATTAATAGTATCAGTTAATTAGTGCTGACAACCACTTCAGCCAGTCTGTAAGTTGCTTCCTATGGTTTGGAGTTTGAAACATATATTAATTGTTACGTTTAATTTGGGAGTAGGGAATTTTAACTTTCCTTTCAGCGATTTAGTTAACTTTTAGGTTCCTGCCTGCTCCCTGAATTGACTGGCACTGTTTTTTTGTTTATGTTCTCGTTTTCGGCAATAAAATAATATGAATAAGAAATATAAAAAGTTTTAATGGTAATGATTATTTCAACAAAAAATGTATTATAGTATGTGGATTCCCTCAAATTGTCTCGCCTTCCCAATTCTAATATATTTGTTAATATCAAAATTATTGATGGAAAATTGTGAAATGGGTATGATGTATTGTAGCTACGATAATTATTTTTGTTGGGTGCATGGAATGTCAGAATGTTTTGTAGGATACAATTGTAGGATACAAAAATGTAGGTATACCCACAAATTGTATTGCTTTAAAAATTTCAGATATTTGTACTAAATAATACCGATTTAAAATTTAAGATTAAACATCGTCCATGAACAATCAGTACTTTAGAAATTGTTCATTACTGTACCATTGGCCATTGGTCGTATGACATCGCATGTACTGTATATACCATAGTATATTTCGTAATTAAGCTGATGGCTCGTTCTGAATACTGTTCTTCTCTGTGAAGTTGCCTATAAGTAATTACCATTAATTGAACATTGTCATTAAATATTTTATGGTGGCAAAATGCAATGAGGCTCTCAAACTATAGGTCGCGATCCAAAGTTGGGTCGCCAAATAAATTAAACTAGTTTTGTAAGACATTATAGGATTTTTTTTTTAATTTAATTTCTTATCATGCTAAAATTTCCTGCAATAAAAGGAACACATTCTTTAACATTTTACTTCAGTTTTGTTTATCAGTTAATGATTTTGAGTATGTTTTTTAACATCCTGGGAAGTGAGTCGCGGCAAATAATTGCTTGGATGTTTGGGTCGCCGGCCTATAAGTTGAGTTCCGCTGACAATAACTAACAGATAAATACAGTGTGTAGGAATTTTCATCAGTTATTTCTTTATTGCTTGTGATTATGCTAAAAATCCTTTCTGTTTTATAAACAATGTGGGTGGAGATTATCTGTCTTTAGTTTACTTTATCTTTTGAATAAAGGATTTGAAAGTTGTGGTCATGTTTTGTTAAGTTTACTTATCCTATCCTACAGTATTAATAAAATAAGATCCTTCCCTTGTCATCACTTTAAACAATGTCATGATACTGTAGTATTATAATCCCAGCGAGTACAATTTATCAGATTGACTTCATGGTCAGTTGGCAGAGCACCTGAATGGTACTCACAGGATCTTGGGTTCGAATCCCATGGTGACAATGTATTTTTATCTTTAAAGAGAGTAGTAATGGTTCTTTAATGGACTTTTCGTTACATACTAATGATGAAGAACGAGGGGATTGTACCTGGAAATCCCCTTTCCAATTAAAGACAACTTTCAGCACTTGCATGCCTAAATCAATGCCTGATGATGACATAATTAATGTCGAAATATTGAATCCCAACACGATGGCGTGTATTTCAATACTTGGAGTATGTATTATACTTTCTAATTCAATGTCGATCTTTGACTTTTTTTTTTATAGTATTTGTAAAAGACACAGTTACACATTTTAATTATAAATTGGGCTTTTACCCAGGGAAATGTTGGCACATAAACAAATTGGGCTAAAGTAGGGCATGGGCTTACAACCAGAGGGAATAAGGTATTATGCTTACCTTGAGAAAAAATGTCTTACCCTGGAAATTCCAAATAATTAGCTTGGCCTCATAGCTCAGTTGGTAGAGCACCAGAATGGTAATCCCAAGGTCTTTGGTTCGAATCCACATTGGTACAAAATATTTTTGTTAAAAACTAATTATGAACAGCATAGTAAAGAGTTCATTATTGAAGGTACCTGGTCATAAAGATATTGAAAGTCTTATCATCGCATTAAACACAAATTTTGTGTGCTTGTATGCCCTATAAATCTTCACTTTGCTATTAGATGAACATGCTTTACATTCCCAGCATTCCCATCCACCTAGAGCTGAGTGATTGATCCCTCTGCTTTTTAATTCACTGCAGCACCTCATCTTACTATTACCGTGTAATTCCTCTTGTATAGTCCCACCCCCCCTGGAACGTAAATTTGGGCCGATATTGGTAGGGGTGGTGGGGTTATACCCGGGGAATCCCCTGCATTCCAAATTCAAAGCCAATATTTTTTTGTTTTTTCTAAATTAGTTTTTTTTTTTTGTATTTGTAGAAGTCTAAGCTACTTGTTCAAATCATACATTTACCCTAGGCTTTTGCCCGAGTAAAGGCCCAGTATGTAAAATTGGGCTTCAAGTGGGTGGTGGGCGTACGGTAGCTGAGTTGGGCTTATACTGTACCCCTGGAACGACTACTACCTTCACATTAGATTTAATATTCTATCATTTTTTATGGTAGTAAATTACTCAACCTCCAGGTGTACTGAAGGCAGTGTGTCAGTTGTCTAGACTAAACTTTCACTGGCTGAGTGTATGACATCTCATGTTCATCCATACCAGGTTTAAGTGCTTTTCAATACTCTTAAATCAAATCATTTTCTTGAAAAAACAAACAAATTAATAATTTGTGTCCCCCTACATTAACAGAGTTTGTTTATACCGTAGAAGTAAGCATTGTGAGGGCAGGCTTATTCACTGGAAATCCAAAAGAAATATTTTTCTCAACTCTGCCTTTGTGTCCTTTCCTAGACTCTGGGAAGAGGTGTCCCCTCCTCCAAAACTCTTAGTGTTACAGTAAAATTTTTCCTCTTTTAAAAAATAATTTAGTTAAAGCATTTTATGTCTTTCTTTGTTTCTGATTAATTCTGATTGTTTTTTTCTACTAGTGTTTTTCATAATATGAAGGATAGGTAGCAAATCTCATTCAGGCTTTTGCCCATCTTTATCCAGACAATACACGTTGTTTCAATTCTGTATATTTTTGCCAAATAAATATTATTATTATTAACATACTGAAACAGGAGCCCTGAGTTGGAAGGAGTTACTTTTGGGAGATATGGTTAATGAGCTTTCTTTAACCCATAGACACTGACTTCCATGACAAGATTCATAATTAAGTATAAAACATGCAGATATAATTAGTTTATAGGAGATGGGTTATTTTCTGGAAAAGTCTTGCATGAGTGTGTGAGACCATTCCATTTTTTCCATGACAGAATAGTAATAAATTTTATTATAATGTTATGATGATCATGGTCTTGCGTTTTTATTTGTGTGTTTGTTATTTGTGTGTGTGTTGAAAGTGATCTGTTTTTCTGTGGTGTACGTAAATCAAATTTCAAGTTTATTTTCCCTTGAAATATGATTAACACACGTATTGTGATAGAAGTATATAGGGGATACCAGTTGAAAACTTTATACCTTAGTGAAGTGGAGTTAGCTTAGGTTAAGGTACTTGCCTTCAAATCCCAGGGTCCTGGGTTCAATTCCTGTAACAGCAAGACTTTTCCTAACAACTAAAAACAATGCAGGCTCCCTAAAGCCTCATAAAGAGACTTCACTGATATTATAAAAGCATCACATTTATGTCATTTATTTAAGTGAGCCCCTGAATATTAGCCGACCTAGGATACGCTGGAAGGGTCACCTCTATAAATATGGTTTAAAAAAAGTGTAAGTGCCTACTTATAATTAATTATCGTTTTGTTACAGTTTTTATTTTTAGAATACTCATAAACACATGATCATGTTTCATTAATTTGTTAGTTTCAGTTTTTAAACTTCTACACACTCTTTCAATTTTAGTATAGTGTTTTGAAATGCTTCCAATTTTCCATTCACAAGGTATGTTTTCCATTTAAAATAATCTAATATATATTTAGTTGTAGTGTCTTTTCCTTATAAATTAGTCAAACACAAGGATGAGCACGGAGAAAAAGAATGCACCTTTTCCCCCACCCCCATTTTTAACCCTTTAACCTTTGGTATATTTTGTCTGTCTCTTGTAGTTTTGTCAACCAGGAGGATGGAGACTCAGGAAGGACCCGTTTCCCCCTACCTTCCACATCTCCATATTAACGGATGTGGAAGCAGGGCGGCATTACTGTGGGATACTAACTTTCAGCGAACCCCTAAAGATGACACCGATGAAGCCAGACGATCTAGAGAGCGACGAGCTGGAATCATCTTTGGTTCACAACACAGTCATGTACGCGCCAAAGAGTATACTACTGGTTTCTAGGTTAAATTACATAGACACATTTAAGGTAAGTAAATGCCAAAAGCCAAACTAGCACTGCCATTTTTCCCCCTTTTTTTTCCCGTAAAACTGAGACACTGGTTTAGTTTGACCATAATTAGTCTAGTGCGAACAGTCCATGAGACTTCCCTCTCAGGAAAACTTACCGAGACGAGCGGTTAGTTTAACCGAGTGAGTTGTGAGTAGTAACACTGACTAGGTTAGTTTCACCGAGCCGAAAAGTCCAATGCAAATGTGTCTGGGTCATTCGAGCGTTACTCAAGATGGAGATGTCACAGATTAGCACCCTCAATAGTAAATTTTTACAGCTCAGACTGAAACAGTGTAGATGCAGACAACAGTAAGATTTATCCATTGGAATGTTACCCACGTTCTCGGTAAAATCTTGTCTTGTTTAGGTCCAGTGCAATTGCAGCTTTAGCAAGTTAACTCTGTTCAAGTTAATAAATCAGATATTGGATGAAAGATATAAGAGTTTATTAATGGAATGCTTACTGGATAGACAGACTACAATTACTGTTTTGCTTTTGTGAACACCCCTGCAAAAAAAAAATTCATCTGTCCCCGGGCTACAATAAGCGATAAAGGAATGAGGAGGAACATTGTATTTTGGTGTGGATACTACCCTGAATTTAATAGATTTTAACTTGTTAAAATTCATTATTATAAAAAAAAATGTGATTAATAGTAATTAATAATACTCAGACTGTATTTCATTAAAAAAAACCAGAATTATACCTTGAAATAATTTTGTGTTATATTATTAGAGTGATTTGGATGATTATTATGATTAAAATTTATAATTTCATCTTGATAAATATTTATTAGAATAATATATAGGAGGACCATTCTATTTGTAAAATTTGTCTGCTTTTTTACTTTATCAATTTTAACACCAGATTTAATAATCTCAGATGAGAAATGTTTTGTGACATTTAAAATTGTGCAGTTAAACAAAAAGATACGGTATATATTTTAGAATACAAAGAGTTGAGCAAAACAAATAAAATATATTTTGTTTTTTAATTATTTTCAGAACTGTTTGGGGTTGATTTATACATCCTTTATAGAGCGGATGGATGTGAAGCTGGAATTACTTGTAGGCAACATCTTAGGACACATAGTGATACCAGCAGCAGGCGGATCACAGGTAAACGTTCAGTACAAACAATTTTGTCATGTTTAATTTAAAACAGCGCCGCCAAAGTCCCGCAACTTATGGGGGAGACTTCCAGCGACCCAGCCTAGCCTGATCTGCTAGCTAGTGTCAAATAGAGCGCTGACTACTTTATGTCATTGTTGGGTAGAAACTAATTAAAGGTGCCTGCAAGAAACCGCAGATTTTATTATTTCAAAATTGTTTAAAAGTAGTATTTAGTTCCTAATTTTTACAGTTGGTAGGTTTTTACTTTTCCATGTTTGTTTTCCCTTTCTTTTATCATATCAGTAGTTTAAGTACACGGCCTCTTGGAAGACCAACCTTTAAAAAGATTGAAATGAGTATCCGTGGATAAATAAAGTTATTATTATTATTAAGTCCTAGCTTAAGATGTCATTGCGTTGCTGTATAAATAATGTGACGATGATAATATAAACAGATCAATTAATAGGACTGATAAATGTTGTATATTTATGTAATTCTGAGGGGAAGATAAACATTTATTGGTAGATAATTAGGGCAGATGCTAATGGAATGAAAATGAAAATACTTTTCTTTGGAATTTTCAATTTCTCTACAGGCCAAAAATATAATTTTAATATTTTTTAAAATAATAATCTTTGGTGGATATGGGTATACAAAAATGGGTATAAAAAATCTGGATATCTTGAAAGAACCTCAAATACAAAAGTGTTGTGTAATTACAGAAGATATGGATAGAGAAAGTATTAAAAAAAAATCAGTTTGACGTCAGTATGAGAAAAAGCTTGGCCGAGTTTTGTTTCATAATTGATGAGAGTTTTGGTTCTGAATCTGGGTTTAAGCTCTATACTGGATTCATATTATGAAAAAATCATGTGACATGCCTAAATATGGTCGTGATGACATCACATCATGACCATATATGGGTATATCATGACTATATATGGGCATTCATACATCAGAAAATGTGGTAGTCAGTACAAAGCTTTAGTAATGTGTAAAGAACTTGCTTGCAAAGAGAAACTAATATTGACAAAAATGGCTTTGTGTTCGATGTAGTACATCATTTCCTTCATTGTCAACAGCTTGGTCTTATCTGATAATAATTTCAATTGAGGAAACAACCTCATAATAGAAGTATAACACAATAGTAAAAGAATATAACCACATATAAAATTACATAACATTAAAAGACTGTGTGTACTTCAAAGTATATAAACTTTGTGGAAAGTAAACATAATGTATACTTGTATCCAAGTTTGTAAAACAGTATAACAAATAATAACAAAGTATTTTGCCTAGTATTTATAATAGTACCATACTACTGTATATCCATGAATTATCATTGGTGGATCCAGGATTATTGAAAAAGTTCGGAACACATTTTCTCAGAATAGTGCGAACTGAGAGGGCGCTAGTTTGGAAATGCAGCAATAGGCAGGGGATGCTCGGTTCGGCGGGACACTCCCAGAAAACTATGCTTATGCCTGGAAGGAAATACGTTCGTTCTTATTTTTCTTCTGGACGGTTTTGTTGGAACCATTTTCTTGAGTATGAAAATAAAATTTTCTTGTTTATTTTTTTTTCTGCCCTCTTCTGGAAACGTTTTGAAAAAAAGAAGAGTTTGCAAAAAAAGCTGTAAAGAAATTATGCCTAATTTGTAGTAAATATTAGTGTGCGCCTTTTAACAGGTTATAGCAGATAATAGTGTATCTTTAACATATTTATTTGCCTTTCAAATTTTTAAAATATTTTTTTATTTAGGTTTAAAATACATTAAAAAATGCAGAACAATTCTGAAATTATTGCATTAACAATCAGAACAAACACAGAAAAATTTTTTTAAATTGAAAATATATACAGTACAGTATTAGGCTACTGTATTAAGAAACTTAAGAAATTCACCTAATTACAACTAAAGATAAACAAAGGCATTTATTATATACACACTAAGCAAATATTGAAATCATTATTATCAAAATAGATTTTAAAGTTCTTTACATCTTATTGTAACTACAGTAAATGTATTTTTTAATAATTATCTTTACTGTATATAGTATAAAAATAACTAATTATCTTTAATATGATTTTTAACATTTCTATTTTCTATAATATATATAAATTTCTAAGTTCTACATCTTATTGTAGTTAAATGGTATTTTTTATATTAATCAATTCTTTATATAGACCAGGTCCTAGTACCATTCTGATATTTACATAACTTTTACTTGAGTTTACAAGTATGCTTTTTAATTGGGTGTCTTTCAATTGAAAAAGCTGTTGGCATTAAACACACCCGTGAAACTTTTATTTCGCCATGATCATTAAAAACTCCACCTGCCAATAATAATTTTGACAAATTCATCCCCATGTTTACATGATTAGAAATCATTATCAAGCTTATTACTGAACTTAATTACATACTGTACTATACTCTATGACCTTGCAGTAGAAAGTGGAGCAATGGTTAGCATAAAAATGGGGTTGGCTGCTCAAACTGAATTTTCAATTTATGATTTTTTTCCCTTTACCGCTGAGGGCCACAATCAGACTAACAGTGAAAATTTGACCTTTTCAGTGTTTTTGCAAAAACAATCTTTTATACTGCTATATGATTAGTTTTAATATTAATACAATGTTATTTTTAGGTATCACCTCTAACAAAATGGGGTTTTTCTAGTCAAAGATGGGGGCGGGTGGCTACACATGGTTTTTAGACTGTATGTTTGCAGGCCACACCAAAGTTGCATTGGGCAGCATGGTGGTCTCTTGTGGTCTGTGGACTTCACTTTGCCTGTCTGTGATGTACTTAGGGATGGCCTACATGCATGTTCTATTATATTTTTTTTACCTTGCATTCTTGATGATAATGGCAGACCCATTTTCTTCTAAATGAAAAGAATGAATTTTGTTTATATAATTTTTTCCCCCCAGAAGTTAATTAAAAAGGGATAAAAAACAAGTCTTGCCTTTCGTGGATGTCTTTCAATTAAGGCAGGTGTTAGCAACAAACTTGTATTTATATAATAAACTTCTGCTTGTGTTAACAGGTACGGTTTTCGATTGGAGCAGGTGACAGGCAAGCGATACAGCCACCACTTAGCGAGATGGTTCCTGTCACGAGGTCCACTGTCGCTCTTCTCTTTCAGCAGCTTGGTACGTCAAGTAATATTCATTAGTATAATATAGTACTTCAAGTGGTAGTGGGCAGGCATGAATCATATGTCTCTACTTAAAAAAGAAAAATAGAAGGACCAATTGTTATGAGGTGGTTGGCAGGAATTTGATGATTGTGATCCAGGGCAGATGTAGGTTGTGGAGTTTCAGGCAGTGTCCTGGACCGCTGGTGACAACCGTGGTTGCAGTGACGACAATAATAATAATATGTATTCATTCAGTGTAAATCACTGATACACTAATGATATTTTTAATACGTATTTATATAATAATATATATTATAATGTATTATAATATAATTATAAATAAAATAAAATTATCTTGTATAATTGATATATAATGTTAAAATATGTTTTCTATGTAATAATATACACTGTATAATAAATCACTGACATCAATTAATGTTATATATCTTTTCATACATACTCTTAAAGTTGTCTTGTAGTAATGAAGATAAGATAAATTTCTAATTTCTGGAAATAGTCTGGTCTCTGTTGTAATGGGTATTCTTTAAGCTCCTTGCTTTATATCTTCGTTGAAAATCATTTTAATTATATTAAATTTTATATTAATTAAATTCAATCAATCAATCAATCAATCACACTAATTTGATAAATTTAATTGTTATACTTTGATGTTATTATTACAATCTATAAATATTTAAACCAACGATGCATATCAGCATGCAGGTTTATGTTGTACATAACCATTTAAAATCTAAACATCTGGGAGAACAAAAAACTTGCTTTGAAGTAAAAATCTTGATAGCTTGATATTATTGGTCTTAAACAGAAAATTAGAGAAATACATTGCTATTTAATTTCTCATTTCGTTATCATGTTAACTCTCAATACATTTGTTTACAGGAATCCAGAATGTCATAACATTGTTTAGCTTGGCCTTGACTGATAACAAGATCTTGTTTCACTCTTCAAGTTATACTCGATTGACCGATGCTTGTACATCAATTCTTGCTCTTCTTTACCCTTTTAAATATTGGTAAGATTCTTAGATTTTCCCCCTCCCTCCTATTTTGCTTTGATATAAATGCATATTATTCAGTGCTGGATCTAAGGGAGGTGGACTCTTGCTCCCCTGGCAGAAACCAATTTGAGAAATTATTTGAATAAAAGCTTAAAATTGATTAAACTCTAGTGCTTGTATCGAAACCGCCCCCCTGGATTCATTGTTCCTGCCCAATTCGGACAGTATTTCCTCAAGCTGTCCACAAATTGCCACATTTGCACCACCCAGGAAAAAAGTATGTGTCCGCCACTGATTACTGACGTTTATATGTACGCAAGATCAAATAATAATAATAATAGTAGAAATAATAATAGTAATATAAATAAAATTTTAAAACAAAAATGAACCCTAAAAACAGTATCAAATCAACTTCAGTAGCAATTCTTAATCAGCGTGGCTTGGAGTCATGATAGAAGCATCCTCGTCGCAGCCCTATATAACGCTAATTCTACCACCACCACACACAAAATAAAAGGCAACATCAACTTGTATAATCTTTTTCATCATGCTATCTGATGGTCCTGGCTGAGAACTATAATTGTGCTAAAAACTCTGTCCAACTCTGGCTAAAACATAGTACTGGGGGGCGGAGGATGCAGGATTTGATGGTAGGGGTTGTGTGAGATTCCATACTGTACTACCTCAGCCCTGGGCCATTGTTGTGGCTGAGGTGCAAACATTTTAAAAATATGGACTTCTAGGTTCCCAGAAATTGTACGTAACACCTTAAAAATCTTACTGGTAATCCATATCAACAACAATACTACAATTATTTTTGGTAATACAATTTAAGGAGGTGCAATCACACCATCTGCATCTGCCCCACAAGTATATAGTATGTAAGCTGTCTCTTATACACATCTAGATGTGTATAAGAGACAGCAATTAATGTTAGTTAATGTTTATGAATAAACAGGAGTACCTTACAGGACAGTGACTATTTGCATCATACAGTATATTTAATAGTTGGCTCCATACAAATTAATTCAATCCTGATCGTGAGACAACGAAACTGGCCTTGTGCCCCTGGGCTACGCAGCTGTGAACCTCCAACAGCATGAGTCTAATGACCGCCTAAGGACCCCAGTGCAGTCGAGTGATGGGGTCCGGGTACAGTATGAGGAAGCGAAATTCTGAAGAAACTTTTATTTAAACATTAAATTGCTCATTTAAATAATAAGTTTGCTCATTTTGCAGTTACTAACATACAATTTGTTACTTGAGCATAGAAATTATAGAATTGTATATCCTGATTTTTATATAGGATGATAATATAAATAATAATAATAACACTTCCACTGTAAAATTACGGGTAAACACTTTTTTAAATAACACTAATTTTAATGTTTTAGTTGAACATTTTGTGTTACAGTACTTCAAAATGAGAATTTCCAAAATGATTTTTATAATCAGTTTTCCCAGATTTAAAGACTTTATAATTTTACAAAAATCGGTAAATTGATTACTAGCAAGGTTCAGTAGCAATTCTTAATCAGCTTGGCTTGGAGTCATGATAGAAGCATCCTCGTCGCAGCCCTATATAACGCTAATTCTACCACCACCACACACAAGATAAAAGGCAACATCAACTTGTATAATCATTTTCATCATGCCATCTGATGGGCCTGGCTGAGAACTATAGCTGTGCTAAAAACTCTGTCCAACTCTGGCTAAAACATAGTACTGGGGCGGAGGATGCAGGATTTGATGGTAGGGGTTGTGTGAGATTCCATACTGTACTACCTCAGCCCTGGGCCATTGTTGTGGCTGAGGTGCAAACATTTTTAAAATATGGACTTCTAGGTTCCCAGAAATTGTACGTAACACCTTAAAAATGTTACTGGTAATCCATATCAACAACAATACTACAATTATTTTTGGTAATACAATTTAAGGAGGTGCAATCACACCATCTGCATCTGCCCCACAAGTATATAGTATGTAAGTGTGTAGACATGACAAGAAGAAGACCAGTGTGGTTTGATGCTGATTCTTATGAGCTCATTCACACATTTTCAGTCATTATGTTTTTGTCACTTAGTAACTATACACTGTACCACCAATCGGCTGGCAGTGGTGTATCTGGGGTGTGAGTGGGGGCGCAGACCCCTCCAAAAATGATTCTGCGGCCCCAGTCTAGCACCCCCTCCACCCCTCCCCCATGAAAAAACAATGGTTAACTAGTAAAAAATCACCTTATTTTGCGAATTACCGTTGAGCTCCTCCAGTTCAACTTCGGTTTCCCTTCCCCCCCCCCTTTAGCACCTCTATTCAAGCATTTTAGGTACGCCACTGAGCCGGGGTAAGTATATTTTCACTTGAAACCTGAAGATCGCTCGATTGATCGAGGATTACGCGATGCTTTTAGAACTTTGCGTGTCTCAATATAGGTGACCATAATCTTACAGAGTATGTATAGAAAGCACACACTAACAATGAAATGCCATGTCAAATTTCAAAAGTGACAGACTGAGCACTTTGCAAGTATCGGTGAATACCACCATTATGCTAACGACACAAACCATGCCAAATTTATAACAGTCGCTAAGAAAATTAAGGAATACGCAAGCAGTCACCGGCTTATGTGCCTCGGCTTATAGCTCTGTATTAGAAACCAAATGAGCAATGCGAATGACGAAGTTATGAAGGGATATGGCAAGTCCGCTAACAACAGATTAAACGATGGATGCAGCCTATGATTAATTGGATTAACAAATGTGTACATGAATCGCCATATACAGAATGCTGATATCGTAATAAATGCTGCTGTAACAAATGGTGTGACTGTGTGTCTCACCTGAGGGGATGAAAAGCATAGCATTACTCGATCGTCGTGTTCATTAAGAAGAAACTATATTCTAGATGCCATACATTCTTACTTTTAATCGAATCCTGCAGACAACTGAAATGATAGCAAGAAGGACGAAGACAATACTGTATATGTACCAACACCGCTATCTTCTCATTGTCATAATTATGTTTATTGTTAAACGTCATCTGAAACCAACGAAAAAATACATTTGGCAAATCATAAAGAACTTCAATTAATTAATCAACAGCGTACTTTTAAACATACAGAATGTGCGTACTTAATTCCGTATCATTTTTATATGTTTCATATTTTGCACATTGAAAGATGTTGAACAATTTGACTAGGAAAACTAATAAGCTCATATATTTGTCCCTTTTGTAATACATTGGGGTATTCCATGCCAAATAAATGTCACCGTCTCACTAGTAACTTTATTCACTACAGTAATGAAAATCCGAAATTTAATCTCGATAATTGGATCAATATTTTCCAAGATATATTGGCGTCCGAAAAAGTGGTTGTGGCATGCATAAGCATGGCTGATGTTGCCATTCTTTTGATTCTGTGATTTTTGAAGTCTTGTAACTTCTCTAGATCGCCAACAAAGCTGAAAATCACTGTACTTGCTTAATTTTTTGTGTAGTTTCAGTTTCTGCACTTAAATGATTATTTATAAAAAGGGCCGGAAATGACACTTTTATAGTAAAATCCATCATCATCCAATCGCCATTACAGTATATAATCAAAATGAAGCGCCAACAAATTTTCATGATCTTTTATCAGCTATTATAGAGAACAAATTTTTAATACGTTTGATGTATGGTATAGAAAATATGACTTAAAACTTAATACAATGTAGGGGATGCGATTGCACCGTCTTCACACTGCTTGACACCATCATTAATATAAATAATGATTTCAAAATAACTAGTCGCTATTTTGCCAACCCTTATTAATTTTACCACGTACATCATTATCTTACACAATAGGCACTCTAAATGTTAGGTAATTATTTTGGACCTTCAACGTTCCAGATAATGCTTAATTATAGAATGAAGTTGCCTTGTCAATTTTTGAAGTGACATTTATATAGTACTAATGACGGTATAAGGCAATTATCAACCAAATATACAGTACATTAATTTGCAGCACTGCATTTATGCATTAAACAAAATCGATTGAAATCATGGCAGATAAATACAACTAATTTTTACTGAACCTCCCTAATGGTCCAATAGATAAAACGATGGATGTAGTCTTCTAACACCACATCGTACTAAAAAATCCAAGACTGAGGTGAACAAGAACAGTGTCCAAGAAATATTTTCTGTATTACATCTACCACACTTTTTTTTTGTATATACTAATACAGACATTTTACAAATACTGCTCAGTGAATTATCTGCTTACTTTGCCAGTGTTGAGTAGGCCTAAGAAAAGAATGGATGTACGTAGGAATGGCACAGCTAACGTAGAACTGCAGTATTCCTTTGTGCTGGTCGTAGCGCCAGTACTATTGGCTAGTATTGGTATCGTCGTAAACACCTTCAGCATATCTGTGTTCATCTACAACAAGTCTTACAAGAAGTCTCTGTCGCTCAAATTGTTTCTCCATCAGACTGTGATTGATTTGATTGGCTCTCTGGCATTTTTTATTTTCCACATTATGGATGTTCCCGAAGGCACTGGCGGAACCATATACTGTAAAATGTTGTTTATCATAATGTGCATGTCAGTAGTATCGACATTCAATTTTGTCATGCTTACAATAGAACGATATATTGCAGTTGTTCATCCGATGTTTTATCGCCAGAAATCCATTCATGGGAAAATGAAATACATGTCACTCATTATCCCCTATTTATGCGGAATAATGTTTACGATACCTCTGCTTATTGATGTGGACAAAGACCCAATTTTGAATGAGTGTACATCTGGAAAGATACCGCTATCTGGTATGCTACTAATTACCATTGACTGGCTTGTACCCATTTCCATGATGGTGTACTGTTACGTGCGGATGCTGTTGAAATTACACAAGACACGAACAGTTGGCCAGCAACCTTTACCTAAATCTCAGCCTAAGAACGGTGGACGGGGTTATCAAGTCAAGTCCGATCTGTTGACTACACTCATTCTAATTGCATTTGTTTATTTTCTTACAATAACTCCAAGCTTCGTTTTTATAATAATTTTCATCTTATACCAAAGTATGAATTATACATTCTATGGCTTGAGTTTGTTGTTTCGGGAGTTAAATCTCACTGTTAATCCATTTATCTATTGCGTGGCATGCAAGGATTTTCAACGTGGCCTTCGCAAGATTAGATATGACATAATCCATAAATTAGAGAAACACACACATTCCCCAACAGTGATCGTGTGACTAAGTTTATTGATTACTGATAACTTCATTCACATGAGGAAGTGTAATATGTACATGAAAAAATTTGTGTTAATAACACACTCACTTTTTTGATAACCAACTTTTATAGCAGTCATCGGTTGCTATAGTGATATGATCAGTATACATGTACGTATTTACATTTAGCTGTGCATATGCTGATTTTTGCTTATGCAGTACGCGTTAACTATCAGTAGTATAGTATGGATACGATGAATAACTATTGTAATTTGTAGACCTATTGTGTAAGAAGGAACTTGTTTGATATACATTTGTCAAAGAAATAAATATTTCATCATTCAAGAAAGAATACAGTCACTTACCTTTTTGACAGGTTAAATTTTTGCGATGATTTCATAACTAGGCTAGGCTACGGCCTTGTAGAAGGAATTCTGGGTGGCGGCCTACCGGGCCGTAGGACTACATCAAAATTGGTTCCTTGAGTCTTTAAAATAGGTCTAGAATATTCCTATTAAACATTCAGTTTGTTTTGTTATGATAATCCATTAATTCTATGAATTCCTTTTAATTGTTCATACTTGATAAATGAATTTGAAGTAACTGTCTTCAGGTTCTAATTAAGCTTGTTTTACAAAAGTAAATTTCAATTACAGTTCAATTTTCATCGCGGTGCGTGATATCTTCGCGGTGACGAAAAAATAGGATTTTTCTTTGCACACAAACCTAAAAAAAATCAAGCCAAGCGTCCACTAATTGAAAGATATTGGACTGCGGTGGATAGGCAAATAACGTTGGGAGGTGCAATGATAACGTCATGATTAACTTACAAAAAATATTATTATTATTAGTTCCTGTCGCATTTTTATTGTAAAGGCGACTTATAGAATGCACTGTTGTGTGTTGTAATGTATGTAAACACATTAGAAAGTAATACAGTATGTTGTAATCTACTGTCCTAACAATAATTGTCACCTATGCAAATACACGCAAACAATTTGTGCATTTGCCTAGGGTACTCGACACTGCTCAGTAAAAAGTCAAGTGAGGAAAAAATACAAAATAAATTTTATTCATCTATAAATCGAATCTCAATGTAAATTATCTTTGCAAATTTATCTCAGATACGAATTGCTCGTCAATATTAAATGACATTAAAATTACATTGATTTTCACGAAAAGGAATTGTATATTTACTTAATATAAGTTACGATATTAAAAGCAAATGCATTGATTACATTTGCATCACCTTATATTGCGGGTTTGCGCTCCCTCACCTGATCTTCGGGCCCCTCGACTTAACCTTTGCACTCACCTCCCCCCCATCAGCACCCTTCATTTCAAGACTTGTAGATGTCGGCTTGTAAGGCTACTATGTAATATTAATTAGGCGTACTACTTTAAAACAATAAATAGGGCGAATCAGTCTGTGTTATGGAGTGTATTACTGGCATTAAATTACTTAAACTACTGTATAAACCAAGAGTGTTTTGAATTTACTTTGTTTCTTTGACAGTGTATGCGCTGTACTATCTCGAAGAGATGGGCTTCTTTTCAAGGATACTTTGCAAACTAAATAGGGGCATCAAATTGAGATGGGCCTCTTTTTGAGATGGGCTTCTCAAGATAAGCCTATCAGGCTTTTATTCAAGGTTTTACAGTATATCCTGAATCTTTCCCCATTTAGTCAACAATTTATCTTTGGCTTTTCCTTTGCGAAGTAATTTCTTTCCACAGGGAGACTATATTGGAAATTCCCTCTCCCATTCCGTCAACAACTTATCCTTGGCTTTGCCTTCGCGAAGCAATTTCTTGGATAATTCCCTTCCACTAGGACACTATTAGGAAATTCCCTAAGTAATTTCAGTTGCTTTAAATTTAGCTATTTTCTTGATCCATGTTCAAATTTTATGTTTCCTTTGTGGTTTTCTTGGAAATCCTTGTTAATATGTGTGAAACACAAAGTATAAAAATAGTCTCACCTTGCCTGAAAATTAGAAAAAACTAATTAAAGTTTTATTACATATTAGTAGTTACTTTTTTTTTTGCAGTTATGTCTACATCCCTGTGCTACCTGAACCTCTAAAAGAAGTATTAAACACACCGACACCATTTATTATGGGTGTCCACTCTGACCTGAAGAACGAAATAGCTGAGCTGGTTAGTAGAGTATCATAAATATATTCTAAATATAGAATTTGATTATAAAAATTATTGGTTGATCGATTATTTTATATCTGATAGCATTAATAAAAAACAATTTTATTTGTGTTGTCTTAAAGTCAAGCATATTTGACGAAGAACTTGGGAACGGTTAATTAGATACAAATTTTGTTATATTTAAAAACTGGAGGAAAGAGGTGGAAAAAAGGGGTTATTATTGCTCCTTTTCCCCTAGTTTTTGAGTATTCAGAAATCTTTATCTCATTAATCGTTCCTGAGTGTTTCATCACATATGCGTTTTGTGTCTTAGGAAAATCTGTTGTACAATATATCTTCCCCCCCTCCCTCTCCCCCTCCCCCTTTTGAGCCTGACTTTAACCATTAATTTAAAGTTAGATAGTAATGTACTTTAATTTGTAATAGTATAAAGCATAGTATTATTATGAGATTGTGTATGTAGTCATGCATAACATACATACAGTACTAAATTAAACCTTCAAAGTTGTTTTTCCTCATTTGTGCTAAATATGATTTATCATTAGATCCATATACGCTAAATGAAGATAATCAAATTATTTTAATACAAACCGTTCTAAAGCTGATTATAAAATATGGTTATTTACAGATATCTTTAATTTTTTTGCCAATGTATTATTAAATGACTAAAACTTTTTCTTATAATAGTTGGATGTGACAGCCGTTGATTTGGATGGAGGTACTATCATCGTACCAGATTGTGTCAACTGCTTACAACCGCCAGAATACATGCTGGAAAAGTTACATAGAGAACTAACAATGGTATGAACACTGTTAATATTCTTTTAAAGTTGTCTCCACAAACATATGAGCGTGCTTTCGATTTCAGGATCTTAGATTCTCTGGACAAAGAGTTAACAGATCTGTTTTTTGTTCCACTTAGCATCATCATCGTCTTCCGATGAAATCCTAATGAACAAAACACAACAGCAAAAGAACAAGTACAATGAATAACTAATTTTATTTACTTTTTTGTATAAGGTACTGTGTCCTGATCTACAGATTGCAGACCTTGCCTTCCCTCCAAGTTCCTCCAAAGGCTGTTCGAAGCCCGAGTTTCTGGACAAGGAGATCAGAGCAATCTTTATGCGTCTGCAAGTGGAAATGCTACTCGGGTATCGCCTCAGCCTCACCATAATCAGGATTCACCCTAAGCCAGTTATCTCCTTCAATAAGGTAATTTGCAGTGGTGTGGGGTGTGGTTGAGATGAGATGATATTTATGGTGGAATGATGGTAATAATGAAAATATTTATTCAAAAAATTGATGTTAAAGGGGAGGATTGTTGTGGTGAAATGAGGAAGTTGGTGATGATGTTGATAGTTTTGATGGTGGTAGTGGTGCTAATGGTGGTAGTGATGCTAATGGTGGTAGTGATAAGGATGGTGGTATTGGTGATTGGTGGGGGTAGAGGTGATGGTGGTTGTAGTATTGATAAAACAATTTGTTGGTGTTTATAATAATGATGGTGGCAGTAAAAGCTGACGGTGGTAGCGGAATGGTGGTAGTAGCAGCGACGGTGGTGGTAGCGGTGATGGTAAAGATATAATGGTGATGGTGGCGGTAGGTGATGATGGTGATGATAATAGTGCTGATGGTGGTATTAGTGGTGATGATAATAGTGATGATGGTGGTATTAGTGGTGATGATAATAGTGATGGTGGTAGTGATGGTAAAGGTAATTGTGATGATAAGTGATGGTAGTGGTGATTGTAGTAATAATAATAGTAATTATGGAGATGGTGTCAGTGAAGATGGTAATAATAATGATGATGATAAAAGTGATGATGGTGCTGGTTATATTAATTATGAGGGTAGAGGTGGTGTTCCTTGTGGTAATACTTATTCCGTCTAACAGGCAACATTATCCTGTAATTATCAACGATGTATCTGTTTCCACAGGGATTGTACCTGATGCAACGCGGGTTGTTTGGAGAGGAATTTCTTAGTAAACTTTACGACAGTATGTCGTTTGTGACTTTTGTGAATGAGAGAGGTCCTCCTTACCGAATCTGTGATATATTTGATAAGGTAATTATCATAATTGTTAATTGGATTTCACTGACTGAATCCTGGTACAATGTACAGGAAAGCTGCCTCTTAATGATGTCATTTCATTTCATTTATTTCATCAAACAGAAAACAAAACATACAGAAATAACAATACCAAAAATCAGAGACAGGATAAACAAAAAGCAAACTGAATTGCTGTATATAGTTTCTCCACTGATTTAAGGATACATAAAATATATAAATAAATCTCTGATCTCAGGAAGTAAAAATGATTAAAAACAGCAAGACACAGCGCAGCGCAGAACAGCGCACCACGCAAGGAACAATATACTGTTATTGTCATGGAGTTTCTGGGATATTCCCAGAAACTCCATGAGAACAACAATAAATAATACCAGCAAACAGCGACAGCAAAAAAGTATCATCGACGGCAGTAGCGCAGAAAAAAGAAAGATTTAAAATTATTAAAAATCAATGCAGCATTCCTTTCGTCATCATAATAGTAGTCATAATCATCATTTTTATCCTTATCCTGATTATCCTCATCATTGTCCTCAACATCATCACATAATAATAATAATAATAATAGTAGTAGTAATAATAGTAATAATAATAATAATAATAATAAGATTCATTATAATTGCGCATATCCACTATAGTATTAGTGATCATATCATAACACCATCATCATAAACAAAATAAATTTTAATATTTTAATGAATTATTGTATGAATTTATGAAATGTTTTTTATATATAATGTATTTGTAATCTTAGCGCGGAGCTAATTTTAGTTTGCATGTCATGGATTAATAAAGTTTTACCTTACCTTACATTAAGCATCATCATAAACATCATCAGCCTCACCATCCCTTTATCTCTTTATTCTCATCATCATCTTCGCTATTCAGCTGCTTTTCTGGCATCTAAATGTACAATTTTGAATTATATTATTACATAACATTGTATTGTAAATAGATAATGCTTAAATGTATAAATCATACCTCTTGTTTAATTTATCATGTGATAGTCTTTTAAGACATCCATTACTTTAATAACATTGTAATAAATAAATAAAGGAAGTGGTAGACAGAACTTAAATAAGCCCTCATCATATTTGTCACTATTTGAACTTGTTATTAACAGCTTGTTGCAAACTATCAAAGAATGCTTATTGAAGAGGAAGGAAACCAAGAAAAAGTACTCAAGAATATTAAAGAAATTTCCTTACAGCTCTATCAGAATGTAAGTACTTACATCGGTATAGGCTGGAGGTGTGTGAGTGCCGACACCACCTCCCCATGGCTGGAACTTAGTTCAACTAAATGTGTTAAAATGCTAAAAATGACCTTTAAGTTTTCATTGGGATAAGGATTTAGTTCGGCTTTCTCAATTTTCTGCGCCCCTGTCTTATTAAATAATGTCAACTTATTAACACATAAAATAATTACTGATGCTGTAATTAATTATTAACAGTGTAACTGTTTAATGGCTTTTTAACAAATTGTATAATATCTATATTTTGAGAGTATGTGAGTATTTACTGTGTATGTACTTATTAAATGTTTAATTATGTGTTTCAAATGGAGGTATTCACAAAGTTCAATTACTTATTAATGGTTTGAAGTACTCTTTAGGTTTACAACCCTCACACAGAAAGAGTGACTTCTAACATTAAGATGAGCTCGAGGCTTTTTTAATTTAAACTTATGTCCCCTTGTTCTATCAGAATCCATTCTTATAATCATCTTGCATGTTCATTTGAACAGGAGAATCCAAGCCCTGAGCCATATGTGCAGAAAATACCGCGACCAAGTGAGACATCATTGACTGACCACCAACCATTCCCAAGACTCAATCGAGAGGAACTTCAAGAAATTATCAGCGGTGGGGTAGAAATGGCTGTAAGCAGTGATTTTATTTATTTCTCATATTTTTGTGTTTGTTTTTGCCTGGTGTCCCCTTGCAGGGTTGGAGCTAATGAGCACTAAGGCTGGGAGATAGATATTTTGAGGGTGGATGCGTGATAAATTTGGTAGACTCTAAATAATAAGAGTGGATGTTAAGGATGGAAAAGTGGGTTAATAAGGGTGGGTGGAGGGCCATGAAATTAGCTTTAAACTAGGTGGAAAACTAAGGCTGAGTGACCCCGCCCACCATACCTACATCCTTGCCCTTGGGGTTAAACATAATACATAAAAGAAATTAAAAAATGTCTTTATAAAATGCCCTAAATCAGGGTTCTTTAATTGACTGCCCAAGAACCATTTGTGAAGCAATCTTACTTGGTTTAATGATAATTCAAACATATTCTTAAGAAGACAACAAAAATAAGACTAGATTTAAACATGACAACATGATATAAGAGGACCGTTTCAAGCCATAAAGCGTTAATAAAATAAATCTCACCTCAACCCATGATAAATAGTATGATACTAGTATATGTCTAGTACCAACATTTATATTTGCTTATAATTAAAGAGTTATGTGTAGTAACAAGCTCCTTTATTTTCACTGGTCAACCTTCTACCATGCACTCATTTATTTTCTTCCTGGAAAAAGACACACAAATGTAGGCAATCCAATGCTCAAAGGCATATCCGAAATGCACAGCACAGAATGTGAACTCTGACCTCAACGTTGGGCAGCGAACCCCAACCAACAACAAAAGGGATTACAGTGTATACTAGGTCTGATATTAAAAAAAAAAAATTAAAATTTTATAATTCCTGATGATGAATTGGAATATGCTTGATATTAATTCATGAAGTATTATATTGAAGTATAATATATCATTTCCTTATGATTTCTTTTAATATTATTTATAGAAAGTGAACCCGAAATTGAAGAAGAGTATTAAGACACCAAAGACCCAAGTGGTTCCTATTGGACCGCTACCAAAAGATTGGGAGGAGCAGAAAAATGTTGTCAACAACTCGGCTCGTCGCTTGGAAGTACTACGTACATGTATATCACACATATTTGAAAACAAACTATTAGATGCCAGAAAGGTAATTACTCTTTCTCCGTACTAAAGTATACAATACTAGCACATTCTTACGCTAAGTACTCAGATTAACAATTATCGACAGTACGCTGGTTATGGGATGGGAAGCCTCATGTCGTCGATCACATCACAAACTAACACAATCAAAGTAGATTGTGTTAGTGAAATCACAGTAGCGCGTCAAAATGAACGCGTATTGGTTGTCGGGCACTTTCGTATTCTTTACCACACCAAAAGTCTGTAACAACAACTGCGTGTATTTTGACGCGCTTTTGTGATTTCACGAACTAACACAATCTAATTTGATAGTGTTCGTTCGTGATGTGAGCGATGATATATTTAACATACATTTTATTCGTTAAAATTACTGACTCTCTGAGCCATAGTGATTTTCGTCGCTTTAGTTTTTCCTGACCTTTTTTCTTAATTGTTCTGATTTTTTGTAATTTGTTTTGGTCGTATAAATAATTGAAATAAAATGTAAAAATAAATAAAAAAATTTGTTTTAAAAATACTTTTTTTTTAATTAGTTTCAGTACATATTTTAATCGTTACCGTCAATTAACTCTCATATAAATCCATCTATTCTGCTATGTTTGGCACTGATCCAACAATATTCCTAGGCCAGCTGGCCTATAAGATGATAATGCTATTGTGCAGGCCAACTGCTCGATAAATCTACTTCCACAATAAAAAATAATGTGTAGAATTCAAAATTAAAGGATCACAAAAATTAATGGTTGTATATATTAATTAACTTGGTTACATTTTTTTTCTATGTTTATTATATATCCAGCCATAGGAAACACCAGTAAATAATATATATCCATGGTATATGTGTATATATTATTTATTCTGTGTTGAAGGAATTTCAATTAAGTGATACATTATATATGTGTGACACTGTCATATCACTTGTTTGTTTACATTGCATTTACCTAAAGAAGTGTACTGTTTACACAGTAGCTTGTGTTAATAGTAGTGTATTTAGTTATTTGGTGTGCTTGATTTATTGAGTGTTTGTTTGTAGTTATAGGAATTAACTGTTTCAATATACAAGCTACTTAGAGTATTATAAATTTATATAAGCTAGAGTAAACCATTCACTGATAAAATGTGACATTGATTCTCTCTCCTTAGATGTTTCCCACTGTCTTGAGGTCCTTAAAGACCAGGGTAGTGCGGGAAGTGTTATAGAAATTAACTGTTTCAATATACAAGCTACTTAGAGTATTATAAATTTATGTAAGCTAGAGTAAACCATTCACTGATAAAATGTAACATTGATTCTCTCTCCTTAGATGTTTCCCACTGTCTTGAGGTCCTTAAAGACCAGGGTAGTGCGGGAAGTGTTATAGGAATTAACTGTTTCAATACACAAGCTACTTAGAGTATTATAAATTTATGCAAGCTAGAGTAAACCATTCACTAATAAAATGTGATATTGATTCTCTCTCCTTAGATGTTTCCCACTGTCTTGAGGTCCTTAAAGAGCAGGGTAGTGCGGGAAGTGTTAGCGAAGGAATTGGCATTACACGTACAAGAAAACCGTGCAATGTTAGAAATGCAACAGTTTGACATGGTAGTCAAACTCATCAACTGTTCCTTGCAGGTAAATATTTCTTTCTATAAGGTTTGCACTGAAAGATGTATTGTCCCATGCTAAATACCAAAAAAAAAAATCATAAAAATATTTTTTGAAATTAACTTATTACCCATTTTGAAGTAACATAAAAGTTATCAACTTGAACATAAAAATTAGTGTATTTAAAAAATGTCTACCCATCAGTTTACAGCGAAAAATGATAGAAACACTTCCAGTCACTGAAGGTGTTTTATTATTTTTATTATAATTTTTTGGTTTAAAAACTAGGGTACACATTTTTTTAAATTAATAATTTTTAGGCACAAGTTAATAATTTGTATGCTATTGCAATATGAGCAAGTTTATTTCAAAATTATTTCTTATGATTTTTTGACATTAGCATTGCAAAGGACAATACATCTTTAAAGTTGTTAGGGAGATTTTGCAACCTTACGAAAACGATAACTAATATGTCCTTATAATTACTGTCATTCGTGCCTAAAAATATTCTTGACAATACGCTGTACGAGCTCCGTCTGATCCTTAAATCATGCAAAAGGCTTGAATTATCTGCGTTGTGACAGATGATGTAACCGTATTCATTATCGTTTTCGTAAGCTTGCGAAAACTTCCTATTATTACCTTCAAGAAGGAGGTTATGTATTCACCCTCATCTGTTTGTTAGCAAGATTTGCAAAATCTAAGGAATGAATTGTTGGAAAGTTTAGTGGAATAGTACATAATAATCTAAGAAAGAGATGATATAACTTTTAGAAAAAAAGCATCATAACCAAGAAGATCAAAAGTTTGATTCCGTTTCCTTGAACATACCTTTGATCATAATAGAAAATAATGGAATCACCCATACACAGCCTGTGCTTTGTTCAGTATCTGAGCGGATTTATCACTCTGTGGAGTGACTGCTCTAGTTGTTTTTGTTGATTGATGTTGCCGGAAAAAGGAATTTTCATATATTTTCTTATAACAAATTTAAAATCAGGTCTCCTTCTAATTAATCCACAAAGTAAAGACCACTTTTCTGTGATTCCAAATTTACATGTGTTTTTATCTTTATTATGCTAATTAGAGACCAGAGCTGCTAAAGACCAAGTGGTTTTTATTTGGAGGGTGACCTGTATCTCTCTTCAGAGTCCACATTAAATATGTTTGTCTAATACTTTTTTTTTTTTTTTGGCAGGAGGATTCTTCAGTTTTTTTTTTTTTTTTTTTGCAGGAGGATTCTTCGGTGGAAGAGTTCACATTAGCGCGCAGGATGTTGCCATTATCAGTAGCATTCTGCAGGGTAAGTGGCACTTTACAATAGCGAGCTTTCAATTGCACGATGACAGCAGGGCGGTAGAACGTAACGACGTTAATCGCTTAAAGTCATATGCGCATACAAAAAGAAAAATTCTCGTCGCGTGGTTTCTAAGATGCAATTTGGCCAAATCTGCATACGCAGAGAACATAGGATGCCGCATCGCTGAACAAGAATCAAAAGCTTCTTAGTATCAAAATTCAAGACTCAATATTAATCTCTGTTCAGCCTATCAAATTTTTTTTGACAAAAAACCTCATGTATGCCCATATATAGTCATGATGTGCCTATATATGGTCATAATGTGATGTCATCATGACCATATTTAGGTATGCCATATGTTTTTGTCAAATAAACAAAAAACAAAATTTGATAGTCTAGACTGGGCTTTAATCAATTTGTCACATAAAAATCCATAAAAGAATAAGTGTGTTTTCAAATACATACTGCTATTAAGAATTAAAGAAGACTATATGTATAGAAAAGATAGAATCCTAAATATTCAACTAAAGTTGGCCAATAACATTCTAAAGTGGCATTTAACTAAATATAGAATATTGCAACATGCTGGAATGTGAGCATTTTTTAAATCTATTTTATTACACTAAACTAAACTTCATATATATATATATATATCTGTACATCGTGCTATGTTGTTTTTGTCCACATTTTCAATCCTAAAACAGCAATTTTTAAACGATTTGGTGATGGTTTCTGCCGGAGAAATGACCAAAATCATAAAATTTAAAGGCCGATTTCTCAAATATTGTTCTTTAATCAGCTGTATGTTTAAATTCCTTTAACTTCATTAAACGTAATGTCAGATTTAAATGATTTTTTACCACTTTTTCTCATTTAACTGTTGAACCCTGTATTAAAATCTAAAAATCGACTTATGCGCTAAGTGACTGGTTTGGCTTGTCTGCCGCAAATATATTCACTTAAGATTAATGCGATAACAGTAGCATTTTACAAGGTAAACAACCTGCACAAATTTAGTAGAGTAGTGCTAACAATTTCATTTAGCCCTATCATCTACATCAATATTGTAAGAAAAAAACTTGACAATTTTATCTGTCTTCATAAATTCAATAAAATAAGACAATGTAAAAAAAAATTTATATAAAATATTTTAAGTTTGAACTAATATTAATTTATTACTCATCAAAGAAGTCTTAACCTTTTCTTAACTCTCTCAGAAATTGTGCACGGGTATAATCCAGTTTGCCTACAGCTGCGTGCAGGATCATCCTGTGTGGGCTACGCTCAGCTTCTGGGAGAATGCGTTCTATGCAGAAGTTGAGAAAGGTGTCACGCAACTCTACATATCAGCTCCATCCACCGACAATAAAGCAAATGTAAGCAGAATGTGGTCTATTCTTTTGTGAACATGGGAAGTGCATTATGGAGAAAATGATTATTATTTATTGTTGACTTTTCAGACATTTGGGTAACAAAGTAACAAAACAAAATTTCATGCAATGGCTAATTTTCACTGCTATCAAGTATGACTACCTTTAAATTCTATTAATCTAAAGCTTCGTCCAGATTATCAAATTTTAATTAACAAAAAAATTGGTGTATGCCCATATATAGTCATAATGTGCCTATGTATGGTGTTGATGTGATGTCATCATGACCGTATTTTGGCATGCCACATGTTTTTGTCAAATAAAATTTGACAGTCTGGGCAGGGCTTTAAATCCAAATAATTACAATTGTGAAAGAAAAGACAGTATGCCTCTTCAGATTTATTAACTAACAAAAGTTAGTTGCTTCTTGATTCATGAGAAAAATAATAATAATAATAAGATAATAATATTCTTATGTAGTGCATAATATAAACTACAGCCATAATGTCGATGCTGGTTCGAACAGCATGCTCGCTTATGGTTCTTGTGGCAGAACAAGTCTTCTTGGATAAGGACTATAAACCGAAAGCACCCAGTGTATACAATGGCTCGTGTGCACTATAAAAAACCCAGTACATCATTTGAGACGAATAGGGGGATACCCCGGTGTACTGGTACAGACAACCCCTGTGGTGGACAACGAGAGTTGCTGGTACCGGGTTACCGGGTAACATAGACACAAAGGGACCCTTAGGGGCGAAGAAAGTCATTGATGGAGTTCCGAGTTCATATATCAAGTGCCATGAGCATCTTGCTTAATTCATACTGGCTCTATACAAATTTACACTATTATTATTATTAGTGCACATCTGAGTATTGCCCCAGTCATTGGAACAAATGTTTATAAAACTCACAGGTTGGTGGAGGGTCTGAGGCTAAAGCGGTATATTCTAATAATATGCAGCTATTCGCAATCATTGTTAGAGCATCATTGTTAGATAAAATTGTTGCACAAGATTTATACTAAATATTTTTCTGTATTTTTATCTATAATGCGCTGTATTTTTCATTTCAGGATTGTGATACGGGAATTATTGATACGTCTCAGAATGGACTGAAGTCAAATGAAATCATGAGGTCGAGTCGACAGTCTCCTTTGGAGGTGTCCGCAGAACGGCTCAAGCTCTGGCCAGATATAGGAGATGAAGACAAGAGTGTTCTAATGTCAAATGAAGAGGGTATTGTTTATAGCCAAGCGATCCACTTTGCTAACCACATGGTGTGTATGAGGGTTCCATTAGACACAAAGAAAAGGCTAGTGAATTCAATAAGTATGGAAGGGGAGAGCTGTGGAAGTAGCAACCTAACAAGCAGGTAAAAAATGTTTTTGTTCCCTTAGAGTAATATTTCAATTTTCTATCTAAGTATTTTAACAGTATTCAGATAAATATTGGTTTTCGATTGACTGATTCACTAACTGATTGATTAATTGATTGACTGTTTGATTAATTGACTGACTGACTGATTAACTGACTGGTGTACTGACTGACTATCTAATAAACTGATTAAGTAACTTATTGATTGACTGATTGGTGTACTAACTGATTAGCTGACCAATTGATTGATTGATTGACTGACTGATTGGTGTATGACTAACTGATTAACTGACCGATTGATTGATTGGCTTGCTGGCTGATTGACTGACTGGTGTACTGACTTGCTGAACTTACTGATTGATTGATTGATTGATTGATTGACTGTTTGGTTTATTAAATAACTGACTGATTGATTAACTGACTGACTGCATCCTTGGTCTGTAGTTTTTAGAAGGATATCAAAGAATGGTGTTTCACGAAAGTGTTAACTCCTTACATTAATTTCTTCTTCCATTCCAGTGCTGGTGGTAGCGATAGTTATGAGGGTGATGGATCTTATGATAGTTCCGACACCACCACAACCGTCACCAAGTTTGTGTCAAAGTTTGTTGATAAAGTCTGTACAGAATCTGGAGTTACAAGTGAACCACTCAAGAAACTTCACTCAATGATACCAGGTAAATTAAAATTCAAGACTATCCATAAAACCTTAATTTATTCTCCAGGTTTTTAGGAGCGATTAGTACAGCTGTTGCTTTCCAGTATTTAATGGCCTTTTCGTAATGTCAGTCAAACTTAAAAAGTGGCCAATCGGAACATGGCCAGGAATAGTCCAACAAGTACGCATGCTGTTCCACAAGGCGCACATATTTGCGTATGATTTAACACTGTCGTTTTAGCAACAATACCTTAAGGGCAATGCTAAGCTGAAAAGGCCCATTCTTGAGATTGTGTGTTGAACCCTTTTCCTGTGAAGTGCTTGTGTACTTTAGCAAGACAGTTTACTTATATTTTTTTTTCCCTCTACCAAGTAGTATAAATTTGCACACGTACACAAACGCCTATACATACTGTATATGGCAGCCATAATGAGGTGTTGTTGACTGTAATCTAGGCAGCATGCATTTCAGTTCTGGCAATTATCTGAACCATATGTAGCAAAGACAAGCCAAACCAGACACAGGGTTAAAGAGTAAAATAAGAGCTATAAAATGGTTTAAAAAAATCATTCAAATCCAAAATTTTCTTACGAAGTTGCAAGCGTTTAAGCATACAGCTGTTTAAAAAACAATATATGAGAAATCAGCATTCAAAGTTTATTATTTCGGATATTTTTTCATGCAGAAACTATCATCAATTCCTTAAAAAGTGTTGTTTTAGCATTGAAAATGGGGAAAATATTAGCATAGCATGATGTATAGATATATAAAGGTTATTTTAGTGCAATAAAATAGATTTTTTTTTAAATTTGACATTCCAGCATGTTTTTGCCATTTCCTCTGAAACATAATTTGCAACGAGTAACTGGTTTGGCTTGTCTTTGCCACATATTAGTTATACATTTTCCATAATATGAACATGAGATAGGTCCAATAATTTTATAAATACTTTCTTAACAACAATGATCTTGGTAGATTTTTAACATGCATTATCATGACCTTTGTGCATTTTTCACATTATTACCTTTTTATTTTGAACAAATGCTTTAAATAGAACATACCATAAGTAGCATCCACATGTTCGAACCTGCCAATGCCTTTCCCAAGGAATCAACTTAAAGGCACAAGCAAAGTTTGCAGTGAAGGTTGGAATCTCCAACCTCAAGATTGAGAGCCCCCAATGTGGTACTGAAAGACAATTTCTTACAAGTTTATTATTTAAAAAAAAATGTAAATCAATATATAAAATGTAATGAATTGTTTTATCTTATTACTTAGGTATCGTTGCAATGCATATAGAAATGCTGGAAGCGGTCCATAGAGAAAGTAAACGACTCCCACCGATCAAGAAACCCAAGATTCTAAAACCGGTGCTTCTACAAGGTGAAAGAATTCTCTTCCCAGGATACCGGGGTTACCTGTTACCTGACGGACGCGAAGAGGGTATTGGTGGGAATATTGGCGGTCCTGCTCTCTTGCCAGCAGAGGGTGCTCTGTTTATTACAAATTACAGAATTGTCTTCAAAGGAAATCCAGTAGACATTCAAGGTAACTAATATAATATTTTTTGCGTTTAATAACTTTTAAAATCTTAAGTAATTTACAAAACCCAAATGCATGTTTATAAAAATTACTCAGGTTAGAACAGAATATCATATCATCCAACTATTATCAGTGGCGGATTCAAGGGGCCCAGCCAGCCCCCCTCCCCCTAAATTTTTCAAAAGCATAACAAAATTGAGAAAAAAAGAAAATTTGATGCAAATTTTGGAGTCTAAGTGTGCCATTTCAGTCCATGCAATAATCATAAATTTTCATAAAGGGGCTGAGGTAGTATAGACCCTCCATCTGTGAAAATCTCTCTCCAGGCCCTCTCTATTTCAAATTCCAGGATCTGCCACTGATTATCTATACATTGTTTAATCATGGATGTATACCTCTATGGTTTAATACAGTTTTTTTAACTCAGTATTTTTGTTTTATGTTCATGTTGACAAATACTGTTGTTAAAATATTATTTGAAATAAAGTCAAGGTTATACATATATTTATTAAAAGGCAGATTTAAACAAAGTAATAAATAAGGAATATTATTTTAAGAAGTAATAATATGGTAATTATGAGCCACCGCAACCTCTTTATTTGAACTCTAAAATAACACTATGATGGAGTCAAAATATTCTTTTTGAAGCGTTGTTTTTCATTTATGTATTTTTTTAAAGTTATTTTTATATTAATGATTCATAATCATGAAAAGAATAATATTTTATCAAATATATATAATTAAGTTATAATATTTTTATGAAGAAATACTGCAAAAGCCATTTATTTTCGCGGCCCTTTATTTTTCGCAATTTAAAATATTTCGCGGCCTTTTAATTTTGGTATTTTACATTTTGCAGTCATTTTTTAACATGATGCAGTGGTCATATTTATGTTGCACCTTCAACAGAATAAAAACCGTTTTAATTCAGGCACAGAATCATGTTTTTTAGTCTGTATTTTAGCTGGAGCTCCCGATTTTGGTGGGTTTCTGCTGATTTTTCAAGCAATCTCCTACCCTCCCGACTTTTAGTCTAGTTCCTATACTGCCAATGGTTGTAATAGTAAATAGTCATCAACTAATGGAAAAATCCAAAATATAGAAGAAATACAATGCTGTTATTTTTTAATCAATTAAAGGTAGGCCTGTAGGCCTAGGTTTAGCTTGCATGACCACTCTAGGTAGTAGTAAGCCTAGCACTCTGGCTGTGTGATGTAATGGCCTAGCTAGCCAAGATAAATATAGCTTTGCTTTTGAAAGCAAAACTATCATTCAGAATTTTGTGATTTTCGCGCCCCCTTAATTTTCGCGATCATCATCGTATCGCAAAAATGGCAAAAATTAAGGGCACACCAAAAGTAAGGGCTCTACATTATTAATGAAATTGTTTTATTTGTTTGATCAGCTTGTGAGCTCGCAGTGATTCGTAGCTTTCCGTTAGCATCATTATTTAAGGAGAAGAAGATATCAGTGGGCAACTTGGTACATTTAGACCATTATTTACAGGAAGGAATCCAAATAAGGTCAAACACATTTCAGGTAAAATAACATAGAAAAACCATTGTTCACCAAAAGGAATTAAATAAGTTAAAATATATTTTAGGTCGTGTTGATATGAAAATTATCTATACCTTTTAAATTCATGTACAAAATTATTGCTATACTATTTTTAGTTTTATTAGGCAAAAATACAAGATTTTGTGTTACCCAAAAAATGATGTCAGGATAAACTTGATTATTTTTTTTTTTATCATTATTTCAATGTTATCTAATTATTATTTAATTTTTTAAAATTAGTATTCATTATTAGCATTGTTGCTCAATGTATAACTTCTCAGTTCTCATTTTTTACGTAGCTTATAAAGTTTGCCTTTGATGAAGAAGTTGGAAGTGAGAAGGTGGAGCAACTGCGTAGGTCAATAGGCAAAATGCGCTTTCCACCCGCTATCTATGAAACGTTTGCATTCCAAGGGACTGAGTTATTACAGATTAACCAGACACAGAAACAAACCAACAAAAATGCAACTCTCAAGTAAGGTTATGCCTTATTTTGTATAGTTGTTAGGCATAGCTTGTATAGTTGTTAGGCACAGTTGTCGGTTAAGATTTTTATTCAGTGGTAGATTCAAGGGAGGGGGGGGGGGCCTAGTCAGCATTGCCGTTCCCTCTTAAATTTTTTATAAATTATAAAAAAAAAAAAATGGGGAAAAAATTCAAGTCTGAGAGTGCCATTTCTGGCCATCTAGATGTGCCATAATTGTTTCTTACCTCAGCCCCAACCATGGTGAGTTTTAGGTGGTGGACCCCCTTTCTGTCAAAGTATCCACTTGGGCCCTCGCAATTTCAAACTCTGGATCCGCCCCTGATACCTAAATGTCATGTGATCTAATTCTGTGATTGTTTTTTCTCTCAAAACTAAAGTTTGGTCTCTACTATCAAATTTTTTGTGACAATTATAACTGTGATATACACTTATTTGGGTGTAATTACTATGACATCAAGATTATATCCGAGACATGGTGTCATGGCAAATGGTTAAGTTGTCGCACAGGCCAGTATTAAGTAAATGAGCTATAAAATAATAAATAATAACTCAAAATATGGCATAAAAAAACCTAAATTTGTTTTTCACTATAGATCAACGGTTTAATTTCTAATTAATCATGTTCTAAAGTCTTAGTTTTGGAAATGGTTAACAGATTGTTTATTTATCGTTATTTTGGTAGTTTATTCCACTAAAAAATGTACAAATAACTTTGAGAGATAATTACTCAAAATGCTGTACTTTCACTTCCCAATAACTAAGGCTTGAAATGTCCAATTTCAATGAATGACCCCTCAAGATTCCATATTCAGATATCTGAAAATACCAGTACAGTAACTTGAATTTCATTTTTTGGTACAACTTAGCCATTTTGCCACAACATGTTTCATATGGATAACATTAGATAATGTAGACACACCTTAAAGAGCACCTTCATTCTAACTATTCTAAATATAGTTCAACCTCTATGGTCAGTAAAATGTACCATGCTATATAACCTAGTTGCAAGCAGTGCTAAGGTTACCTTTTGAGAAATTATCCTAAATCTCAAGTATCAACCAGCTCAGCAAGATTATTTTGCAATGATAATTAGTTTCTAAATGACTGCCTTATTCTGTCTGTATGATGATAATTATTACAGGAGGTTTGCTAAGAACACCTTAATGAGGGTCAAGGGGTCAACGTTGGGAAGAGCACAACAGCAGAGCACACAGCAGCAGAACCGTCGCCAGAAGTACATCCTGCCTGTGGAACCCCTTGTGCCAAGGAGGCTTTCCTCCAGCAGACTGGGAGCATCTAACAGCATGGAGAGCTTGTCAACAGACAGCGACAGCAGGCCTAGCAGTGTCATGTTTGATGATGACGATCTAAATAGTAAGTCAAAATTCATAGTTCATAGTTCACTTTGTTCTTTGGGAATTCTAATTGACTCTCAGATGTTTATGATTAAACATAAACTAAGTTTCTACAGGACACATTTAATGACACCTATGCTTACATGAAGGATAATCAGTAACACTTAATTTTGAATTTTCTTTTAGACTACATACAGTAAAAGGTCTCTGTAGAATAAGAAAAGAATTTTATAAATGAAAAGTTCTTGTTAATGGTTATAAATAAACATTAAAACATATAAATTTGATATGAAACTCTTCAAATTAATTATTTGTATTTGTAAAGAATTAAATGGAGTTGTACAATTTTTATGTAACACTCCTTTTATGTATAACTCCCCAGTAATTATTTAGACAAAGATAAAAAATCTGTATCTATATTTGAAATGAAAGATTTTTTAAGACCTATTCCAGGAATATTAATTGATGTGTATTCAAATTGAGAATGTGTGGTGGAGGTGGATGCATACTCTCCCCTGCCTACGCACATGATATTTGATATTGTGATCAGTTGGTGACTCAATTTTTGGTGATGGTGTCGACGTCAAGGATTGGAACTACAGATTAAGAAACAAGACATATTTGATTAACAAACTTGGTTATAATTGTGAAGCATGTTTTGTGCATGGCAGTGTTTCAATATTTAAGCTGCATGCAACAATTTGTTTTAAAGCCTAAAAAAAAAATGTTATGTTGGCGTAATCCGACAAACCCTGAAAAATAGGCTGACCCTAGACAATTTTATTAAAATTTCATGATACAAGTTTACGTGAGCAAAGTGGGCATGGTCGGGTGTCAAGCAAAATGTTTCAAAAGTAGTCCAAGGACAAAAAATATGACAATTAAGGGGGCTTGAAAGGCTTGTTTAATTGATTTTATAGATTTCGAGGTCTTAGCTGAATATTGTGGCAGTGTTAAAAAAAAATATCCCTACCTACCTACCCTATTTTGGGGCAATTTTTTTTCTTAGCCCTGATTATTATTAGTTTCATCAATAACGCCAGCTTACCAAATATTTGTACCTGGTAGCCATAACACCAATGAGGTATATGCCATGGTTATCATATATTTGATTGTAGGAATACCAGCAACAGTACCTTGGTAAAGATACCAATGATTCTTGGGTGTTCTAACAGCAGCTATGTTCCATAATTTTAGTATTTATAGACAATGTATGCCATGGATTGGGTATCAGAACTACCATTGAACCATGGAGTTATTACTAGCAGCTGTATACCATGGTTGTGGTATAAGCAATGCCAAACTATGGATTTATCACTTGCAGCTATGTGCCATGGTTGTAGTTATTCATAGCAACTATGCACCATGTTAACTGGACCACCATGACTACTATTGTTGGTACAAATTGCAGAAGTGTACCATGGTTTTGGTGCAATTACTAGCTGTGTACCATTATTTGGTTGGTTTTATAGCAGTGTGCTATACCAATGTTTGTGGTGTTGATGTAATGTGATGTGCTCTTTCCTCATCAGATATTGATATAGCCAGTGCATCGTTACGAGCCAGCTTATACCGATCCCCCTCGGATACATCGACAGGTTATAGTCCATTTCATTTACATTTCTTCCCACTCCAACTCACTTTTTCCTTTTTGTTTTGTTTTTGGTTTAGTAGTTATCACTTGCATGCCATTTTTTTCCTTGATTTTCATTTCATCAAACTGATGGTGTTCTGTTTTTCTTGTTTTAGTAATGTTTATTCTGTTTCAGAAACCACTCGTATGTTTAAATATGTTTGTTGATTTTTAGACATTGACATGATTGGGTTGTTTTATTATTATTTCCATGTTCATACTTGACAATTCCATTTATCCATAGAGAGTAATCTTGACTTTTCATTCTTAAAAACCTAAATTTATATTTTAACATTTTTTTGAGGGTGGCCCTTCCAGCCTTGAAAATGATCGTTTGGAATATTAATAATAATACATACAACGCGAGGCAACAAAAATATCGTACTTTCCAATTTCACTTGTGGTGAAATCTGTATGTTATATCACTGTAACTGGTACGTTCTGCCATAGACATTGATGTTTCATCTCTGAAGTTTAAGCTACCATTGACAGTTTCATAGAAATTAGAATCTGCAACCTTACAAATTGCTTATGCTACCCTGGAAATTTGAATATGCTACCCTGGAAAAAAATGTATGATGTCATAGAAAATTGGACTTGCTGCCCTGGGAATTTTCTATTCTGCCCTGGTAAGATAGATCTACTATAATGAAAAGTTACAATTGAGTTACAATTTCTAGCAGACTGAAGCGAATACAGCTTTAATGACAATCAGACAATGATCTAATATTGTAGACATGTCTGACAATCACTGGTTTGTCTGACAGACAAAAATCCAATAATTTACAGTGCATTTTCTTGTTTATAATTGATGTATTATGTATACTATGTAGCATATTGTTATTTCACTGTTTGATATTTTAATTGGATTGTTGTTTATTATGGCTTTCATACTCTCATTTTTATCTCATAAAATTTAAGGATATTTTTAGTAAAACGTCTGTAGTAATTTGCACTCTCATTTTAAAAATAATCTTACTTAATAATAATAATAATAATAATAATAATAATATTAATAATAATAATAATAATAATTAACAATTGTTGGTAACTTCAAGTAAGCAGTTCAAAGCTTTCTTTTAATTTTAATATTTTTTTCTTGATTTGTTTGGGCATAGTATGTCATCTTTTTATTTAAATTGCACACATTATTTCTATTTTCTACATCTGTAAATTAGAATTCAATGCTGTAAGTTTATCAAGGTATATTATACTGGTGCCTTGATAAATTTCCAATAGTTTATTGTAATTTACATTTGCAAATCAAAAGTGTAGAGCATTGGAGCAAAAAAAAAAAAACAACCCATAAGTAGGGCAAGTTATAAGTAAAAATAATTATGTGCATATTTAAATGTCAGTAACACACTACAGTTTTTGTTTCAAAATTATGTGTCTTGATCCTATTTCGTAGCACACCATTATTAATAATTTTGCTCTTAACTCTAATGGTTTTATGTGTAAATAATATCTGTAAATTGGTAAAAATGATTCTTCCCCCTTGATCTTTGTATATCATTTGAAGACGTTTTACTTGATGTTTGAGGGGGGTGTTTCAGATTTGATTCTTTATTTTCAATTTTATTCTATGTGTCTCTGTGTTCACATTGCAGCTAAAGCCCTGTCCAGACTATCAAATATTTATTGTGACAAAACATGTGACATGCCTAAATATGGTCATGATGACATCACATCATGACCATATATAGGCATTGCATGTCTGTATATGGGCATACAACAGTTTTGTTTTTTTAAATAAAATTTGATAGTCTGGTTAGAGCTTTAGTGTTACAAACACCATTTTTGAAAGGGTGTCAGTCTTAGGGTTTGTTTTTAGAATAGGTAGTTTTCGCCGCATGACGTTAATCTTAACTTTAACGTAAGTACCCAACATGCAGCGTGATAGCTCCGCCCCTTTTGTAAATAAATTGAAATGCGCATACGCAAACCCGTAACTAACGTACTTCGAGCACGTAAAATCCTTAAATTAACATACTCTGCAAGATGAATAAATTTTTAAGTCGTCCGTTAACCCATTGAAGTTGCGGTCCGTATAATATACGGACCAATTTACTGTCACAGAAAGCCCACTCGAATTATATACTGACTGACTTTGGTGCTGCTGCCCTCTATTTAATGAGTAATTTATGGGGATTTCCCTATTGTTGCCGCAACTTGACATGTAGAAGCCTTCAAAGTGGCCAAATCAGTAGCAATCATTCAATGTCAGTGATGCACTTACCCTTATTTTAGCGGATGATGACAGTGGGGCTTAATGGGCCTCAGTGACCTTGGCAAAATTCATGTGGGAATTTAAAGGGTTAACGTTAAGGTTACTGTCACGCGTCGAAAAACTGCCTAATATCTTAACACGTTGACTGCCAGACCTTTTTTTAGGTTCCTTGCCGTGTGCCAAAACACGTATACATGTACAAACATACTTTTTTGAAATTTTATCTAGTCATATATCATCAAAATGGTTTGTTTAATAAATTGGTGGGAAAATATAAGGATACTAGTGAACTCGTCGCCGGCAGTGGGACAGTACTTTTTATTGCCTCTGCCAAGTGCGAGTTTTCTCGTCCACTTTTTGCATGAGTTGGTATATGTTCAGTATGAGTTGGTATATGTTCAGACGGCGCCCTCCAGTCAAGTGTACTACTGGCAACATAACACAACAATGATAAATACGTTATTTGTACGTTATTTTCTAGGTGTATCTATCAAACCGATGCCCTTAATAGCACTGTCATGTTTGTTTTTTTGTGAAAGTAATAAATATTTGTATAAATTATTTGTCAGAAATTTGACAGTTTATACAAATTATTTTAACACATTAAGCTGAAGTCAAGATATTTTTAAGCAGATGTCACCAATACATGCTGATAAGTTTGTAAAGATAGTTTTTTTTTAACAAATTCAAATATAATTCATATTTAATTTCTATTTTAACAATACAAACTGACATATTTACTAAATTAAAAACTGTGAACACCGTTCAAATTATGTTCAGTGTTTTAACAATTTGTTTTATATTGCAATACATTATAAATTAGTACTTAATGTTCATAGTTTTTAAGAATTTTATTGAATAAGTGATTTGATTTTTTTTGCAATATGTCTGTCTACATTGTATAGTATGCTTTTTATTTTGGAGCCATTTTAACTACAATTTGTTTTTATTCATATTTTAATCCTCTCAAAACAGAATTCTCACCAGTCCTTGGAGGTATGATATCTTATTTGATGTTATATTTTGGGATTAAAAAAAAAAAAAATTGGTGTGTTTTCGCAAAAAAAAAAAAAAAATTGCTTGTTTGCCATTTAGCTTTTCCATGTGTGATTTCTCTTTCTCTTTATCTGTTTTTCTTTACTTTCAGTTATAATTTTTTTTTCATTACTACATTTCATTTTTTAATTTGGGTTAATTTTTGAAAAGATTCAATAATTTCTTTTGATTGCAGTTTTCATTAAATGTTTCATAATGTTTTATTGCTGTTTATAATGCATGCATAACAGGGGCGGATCCAGAGAAAAATCTGGGAAGTGGGGGTAGGGGGAAGCCAATGCGATGTGCAAATCACCAGGCCGGGGAATGTGTTTGAGATTTTTTGTTGAGATATCCTTGAACATAGGCAATATAAAATGGATTTTAAATCAAAAATTATCTTGTTATTGAGTACTGTGTTCCCCTTTTTCTTATTTTCTTCTTCTCGTTTTGTGGGGGTGTCCCTAACCCCCATTGCTCCCCTGGATCCTCCTCTGCATTATTTCATTGGTCTTCCTTCTTGTGTCTTTTCATAATTATTTTTTAGATTTTGTCATTTACAAATATTATGAATAATAACAGTGGCGTCACAGAGTCTATGGGGCCCTGGCGGTGACTGTTTTTGGGGCCCATATTTATGAACTGTTAACTGTACTATTATCAGAGAACATTAAATGTCCATGACAAAATATTTCTGACAATTTTATGACAAAACCAACATAGATTACATATGCCAGATTTCGGAACTGGAGGCCTACAATAAGCCTGTACTCTATGTAGATGTAAATAAATACAGAGAATATTTGAGTGACAAACAATTAAAACATATTTTGATAACGTATCTGCTGGAGATTGGTTAACATTAATTGCAAAGCAGATTAATCACAAAATCAGAAACAAATGTCCAACATCAGAACCCCGCTCTTATTAAAACTGTTGGGCACATTGAATGAAACTATGGTATTATAGTTTATATATTATATATTTTTTTTTAATACGTTTTCGGGGCCCCTCGTGCCTGAGGGCCCTGGCGCTTAGCCCCACGTCATTGCCCAAGCGTGACGCTACTGAAATAATACTCTTTTATGAAGTAATTAATTGTACAATTTATGATATTCAGGTTGGTGGTATTTCGGAGGGTGTGTGTTCTATTAATGAGCTATTATTATTTTAGTATTTAAGATGGTGTTGGTCAATGAATGTAAAAATTGTTAATTTTTTCACAATTTCTTTATTCGACATGCATATGCTAATTTTATTATACTTCAGTTATTTTCATTTTTCTGCATGAATTAAAAGCACTCATCAAACTTTAAATTTTTTTTTCTTTTGATTATATATATAATTATTCTTTTTTCCATAAAAGTGGTGTATATTTATTTACTCAAATTGCTTTGTTTTCTATTTTTCATATGTAGATTTTGTCTTTAATTATTGATTTTGTCTTCTGTCTGAATGTTGTTTATATAAGTACATTATAACTGATTGTTAATTATGATTTTTTTCTGTTAGGTTTTTGATATCAAATTCTATAATTGTTAGTAATTGCTTAAGCATTGCCACACTATCAAGTTTTATGTAGTTAATTTTTATGGTTTGCCCATATATGGCCCTGATCATATATTACATCCATATATGGGCATGATGATGTCATATCACATGCATATATGGTCATGATGATGTCATCACTTCATATATGAGAATGATGTCACATCCATATATGGGCTGGATGATGTCATATCACATCATATGGGAATGATATATTCATCCATATATGAAAATGATGATGTCACATCATATGGTAATGATGTCGCATCCATATATGGGCATGATGATCTCATATCACATCATGTGGGAATGGTGATGTCACATCCATATATGGGCATGATGATGTCATCACATCATATGGGAATGATGTCACATCCATATATGGGCATAATGATGTCATATCACATCATGTTGGAATGGTGATGTCACATCCATATATGGGCATGATGATGTCATATCACATTCGTATATGGTCATGATGATGTCATATCACATCCATATATTGCAAATCACAAACATTTGTCACATAAAACTTGAGAGTGCAAAGAGGACTTTATATAATATACTAACTAAAGGAAATAATAAATTATGAAAATTACATTGATTATAACATTAATTTCTGCATTAACAAGATAAATAATTTTAATTTGAGCATCTGTGTACTGTAGTTCTCACTAATTCACAAAGTGTTCGAAGACTGATAAATGTGTGTCAATGAAGTTCCGTTATAATACTTTTCTTTCTACCATTTCAGTAATTGATGAAGCCGACGTGGGGACATTGAAACCCTCCGATACTTTATCCCCGGATAAACTACACGATAAGTTATATGTGCAAGACTATAAGAGGCTCGGCCTTGGATGCTTTGAGACACTCCAGAAGCAAAAGTTTGGAAGGACTGCCGAAGGATTTAGGCTAACTGATGTCAACATACACTATGAAGTTGCAAGGAGGTATGTGTTTGACTAAAGTATTTTTCCCACTATGCAAATATATATTCACGTGACACGAAAAGTTTCGGCGTGAAAAACACTTTGTTATTTTCCTCTACATTAGCCAAAAAGCTTCAAACAATAGAAGTATTTATAAAGTAAGTATTTATAAAGTAATATATATTTTTGCAAAGTAAAAGGGGTAAAAATGTGAACATATGAGTAACTCTGGATTCAGCAACAAACATTTTAATATATGGCCCTGCCATAATATATATGGCCCTTCCATAACCATTCATTACTGTAATTATTTATGTTTATCTTCTGTGTTCGTCCAGTTATCCAGGACTTGTTGCTGTACCAGGTCCATGCCAGGATGACAGTATACGAAGGTTATCCAGATGCTACCGTAATAATAGGTTTCCGGTCGTTGTGTGGAGGCATCCAAAGACAAAGGCACTTCTTTTACGTTCCGGTGGTTTCCATGGGAAAGGTGTGATGGGAATGATCAAATCATCAACGCAGGCGACGCAATCAAGTAATAGTGAGTCAAGCAGTGTAACCAAGATAATGTAGAGACAGGTGTAAATAGAGTTTCTACCCCAAGGATGCGTACATTATGGGATTTGAAAAACAACCACTGTACTAACTATACCCTATCACACAGGTTGGGAAAGTACGGCTCAACAGGTGTTTTTTTCTTACGGCCCGTGAAAATGAATTAAAAACACAGTGTGCTGCCCGCCAAGCAACATTGGCTAGAACACACCTTGTTATTACGGCCCAACACTGACCATATGTAAAAAGTAACATTGAAACTGAGAATAAAATGGTGTAAAAGCAGTGTAGGGTGGTTTTGGGAAGGTCACTGGAACACCAAAGTTTGTGTGCGGTCCTCGGTGTTAAATCAAAAATTCACTTTGGAACTCTGACCGATTTTTATGGCCGCACCCCTGTTTTATCACAATAATACTTGTAATTAATAAATTTTATTTATATTTTAGTTACTTCTGCAGATGGTGGAGTAGCAAGTAAAAGTATTGAACAAGAAAAATACTTTATGCAGGTTATTGCAAACTCATCTTCATCAGTTAACAGCGCCTCCTTGTTGAGTCTCAACAAGATTGCATCAAATAACTCTTTGGACATGCAGGAAGCCAGTCCTAGACTCGGCACCAAAAGGGTTACCACGAGCGGGACGGCTCTCTTCCAGCGGAGTATTCTCCGCTCCAGTGGCGGAAAGGCAACACAAGGTAAAAAGAAAAAAAAAATCACATTCATTTTGAGTTCAAAAAGACATTGCATTTTTTTCGTTCTTTTTACTTCCATTCATATTATTATTCGTGTATTGTCATTCACGGCACATTGTGTGTTTAAAATATCAGGCTTGTCGCACCTTGTGTGAGAATGTTTCATTATCCAATCAAAACAAATTACTTGCACCAAGCATGTTGAAATTTGAGAACTAGTAATTTAATATTGGTGACAGAAGCCAAATTTATCTATGAGGGATTTCTTGCCAACAATTTAGTTGATTAAATTTTGAGTTGTTCCTTTAGAAAAATTTTCTTATTTTTACATGACTAGTAGATTGTTCATATATTTATCTTTGAAATTCAGAGAAATGTTCATTGTAAATTAAAATAAATCTTTTTTTATATGATTACAAATTAATTTTGCATTACCAAATTTAGTTTTGTTTCATAGTAGAAGTAGTAATTAGTATAGTAAATCAATTTTTGTTAAAGTTATAACCAATTATTTCATTGTTTACTTTCTGTTGTACCTTACTACCTATTAGGTAGTATTTATTTGTATGTTAACATATCTCATTTTGTAATTGTTTGGATATACTGTATATAATTTAGTTGTTTGTACAGTAACATTGTCTTTCATTTTTAATTGTTTGGAATCACATCAGTAGGTTGTCAATAGTTTTAATTCTTAGTTCAAATTCTTATGTCTAATATGGTAGTGTGTCCATTGTTTGTGGGTTTACTAGTTTAACAGTACTTAGGTGACTTTTAAGCTTTGATTTAAATTAAAACTTTTTTTTTTTCATTTTCAAATTTTTTTTTTTTGAAAATATCAGCACAAATTTGGATATCAACAATTAGTTTATTTTTTGTTTCTGTTGCAAAGTTTATGATATATATAACTGCTAAATATGAAGCAAAAATGTGAATGAAATTCAAAATTTTATTTTATTTTGTTGTTTTATTTTCGCATGTTTAATAATCGAGCACCTTTATTATTATATGAATGATAAAATATTAAGATATACTTTCAAGCTTTTATATAATATTATTATTATTATTATTATTGTTATTATTATTCTTATTATTATTATTTTTTTTCTGAATGGTAAAGTTTTTCTAAATTATAATTTTGTAATTATTAATTATGTTTATTTTATTGATATTTATAATTACCATATTATTATTGTTAATATTTTTAATATTTTATTATTATTATTACTGGTTTTTTTTTTTATAATAATACTTTATTTTTATTATTGGAATTTCTAATTAATATAGGAAAGTTTTTTTAAAGTAATGAAATACAACTTCAAGGATTTTTATTTATTATTATATTATTGTTATTGTATTATTATTTACTTATTGTTGTTTTGCTGTTATTGTTTTTGTTATAATATAGTTCTTTTTATTTTCAATTGCAATAGACATGTCCTGAATTGTTTATAGGCTTAAATTTAATACTGATATTGATAGGTTGATAAATAAATAATATTGAAATTATTTTTAATTTATCAACTTGTTAATATGGTTCTTTCCTCATATATCTTGTATGATTTGTTTATATCTTTATATATACATTATGTATCTATTTTTGATTTTGCTGTTTGTTTTGACCACTTACCTTATTTACTGAGCAATCACCAGAGCCTTCTACCGATAGCCGCATGTTACTCTGCATAGCCTAGACAACAACATCTTAATTGCTAATTTAACGATCACTACTGCGCTAACAAAACCTCAATACAATTTCTTTGATATAAAATATAACAGCTTCATTTCTTAATAACAAAATTATTAATCTTTCACCATATTTTTAACAGCATTATTTCAAATCCATCCTAAGTTTAGAAATATTTTATTCTAAAGATATTTTATGAAATATTTTGCTCTACAAATAAAGATAGTTTTTTTTTTTTAGTTTGGAAAAGTAAATTGGTTTTAATTACCTGTTAAATGATAAAAATATGCATTTTATGCTTAGTTCTACATAATACCAAAAACCACTCAAAACAAACAATGGAATGTGGATTATCTGTAACAGTATTCAATTTATATTATTTTGGAGAGAATTTTGAATATGATTATGAATAAACTCTTGCAAAAATGCTCCACCAAAGGCAAACAAAAATAATTTTTAATTGGGATTCAAATAGGGTACAGATGTTTTGATCAGTGTGAGCAAAAGCAGAAATTGGTTACATAATCTTAAATCAATTTAATTTAAATCCTGCAAAGTTACTTAACCTCAAGGTTAGGACAAGGTCTTGATGAGGACATATTATCAACAAATAACATCAAATTGAACAATATAAATTGCATTATTGTAATTTTGTGAGGTCATATTATATACTGCTAATTTTGTATTATGTACCATGTTTAACTTGTTTAAAATATAATTAAAAGAATGACTAGAGTGTATTCAAGAAAAAACACACAAGTAGTGGACTTAGATTAGAGACTTAATAAAAAATAAGTTTAGTTATAGCTTTGTTACGCTTACTTTAGTTGTACCTATTTTGCTCGAAGATTTGGCCACTTCTTTAATAAATATGCAATTATCTATAAAATTATACAAAATGTAATTTCAGTGTAGTTATTTGAAAGCATGATAAGAGGTCATAGATGTTATAAAATTGTTTAACTCTTTATATTGAAGTTAAGCAACTAGTTAATACCAGCTTTGGTCAGGATTTAATTCAAATAATGTTTCAAATTTGGCAGAAGCAAATTGAAATTATGATTAAATTTTGATAGATCACTTCATTTGGACTTAATTAAGTATCAGACCCGTAGCGTGGGGGTGGGGGATTAATAAGTATCAGGCCCGTAGCGTATGGGAGAAGTTAATGGGGTTACGACGAACCGCCAAAAGACTGGAGAAAGTCTGAATTTAAAAACAAAAAATTTATAATCATAGATATACAGTATTTATAATGTTTTCCAGAGTACAGTATCAGATATAAGGGTCCACTTTACACTGAAATGAACCTCCCACAAATTAAGTTACGCTACGGGCCTGAGTATCTGCAAAATTAAAAGATATCCAATTATGCTTAATATTGAAGACAAATTTACTTAAAGAATATCATAATTAGCGAAGTCCCTTTGTAAATTGTAAAGTGGTTTAGTGTTTTATGTTCATAATGCAGTGGGTTCATGTTCGTACCACCTGTACATTTTGTACATTACAAAGTTTTTGTGTGCTAATTACCCCTCTACATTTTGTGCATTTTTTGCAGGTTGGTTCAGTGTACTTACCCCCCTCTAGAGTGGTTTAAGTATGCTTACCGCCATTTTCTGCATTGTAGAGTGGTTTGGTGTGTTAATTCCATCTGCATTTTATGTGTTGTTGGTTGCACATGTGTGTGCTTACCCATCCACATTTTATGTGGTGTTGGTTGCACAATTGTGCTTACTGGTACACCTTCTACATCTTGTGTAATAATATACCTGTTTTTGTGAATTATTAGAAATATGGAATCCATGTTTTAGTATACTGTATTTTCAGATAAACTTTAATTCTATAAATGTTAGGACTGTCTGTCTAGCAAAGATTAGTACAGGTAGAGGTAACTTGTAATACTAACATTGACATCATTGTAGTGGTTAGTGATTTGTTATGAGATTAATTATAATTTTAAAGCACAGGTATTTGGTAATTAACATAAAGAAAATGTGCATATTTCCAGGTTGGTACACTAACTACCATTTAGTGTTAGGTGTTACATTTATGTAAATGTTATTTTTTTACACATATTTGTGATTTGTGAACCTCTCGCTTGATTACCCAAAAATTATCACCAAAAATTAAGTGTTTTTTTGTAAACAAATCTCATTTAATATATTGAGCTTCCTGCATTCTGTTCTTGAAATTCTTTCATCCTATGCTACCCCACTGTTTCTTGTATGCATTTTTCAATCATATTTTATTAATTCCTTAAACATTTAAAGAATACTCACTTATCATCAAGTCTCTAAGGCATCTGATAGTTAATACTTCCCACAATTCAAGCTGTGCTTTGCTCTTGTTGGTTGCTCAGGAACTTTAAGGTCAGGCGGTCGTGCAAACACACTGGCATTGCCCTCAAGAGCTTCTTTTAAATCTCTTACTCTTGGATACCGTGCAGCGAATCGTAATGGCAGCATCACGGACGTCGACCATGCCAAGGCGCAGGAGCCGCGCAAGGCTGACATGTACGTGTTTGGAGAGAAGTCACAGTTAAGAGTGAGTATACCCACTGAAGTTTCCATCAAGAAACATTTACACATTTGTCAACATCTTGGTTCCTCAAGGTTTTGTATATTTATAGAAAATATTTTTGTATTTTTTGTATTATATTTGGTTTAATATAGTAACTAAAGTATCTGCAGTAAGCCCTTCCCCAAAACAGTCTTGCCTCAGCCCCAGCCATGGTGGGGTTGAGGTGGTCCAAACCCCTCCCTGGGTTCCCTATTTTGAATTTCTTTATCTGCTACTGGGCTTGAAAGTAGAAGATGAATGAGGATAATTAAGATAAATTCTAAAATAGGATTTGACAAATATTAAAGCTTTTGATTTTGTTGTACAATGGATCTGGAAAGAAAAGCTTTTTAAAAAAGTTTTCTGAATCTGTGACTTAATATGAGCATAAATTTCAAATATATTGGTTGTTTAATGATATGGCATATCATAATGTTATGATATGTAGTAATGATATGTATGTTATGTTATGTAGTTATGTTAAAACTGATTACTAAATTTGTATAAAATTGTAACATGCATTCAAGGTGTATGTAATTATGTTAAAATACTTTCAAATTTGTATGCTATTTACACAGACATTCAAGTTGGAGGGGTCATTGAAGTGTGACTTTATTCCATATGAATTCAATGAAGTACGTCAAGTGAAAGCAAGTTTTAAGAAGTTCATGAAGGCATGCATTCCAAGTGCTGTATCCAAAGACCCGGAGATGGCTTTCCTCAAGCTAGTGGAAGATTCAGAGTGGCTGCCGCAGGTTGGTCACACACAATTTGTGTTCTTTCTTTCATCAATTCACATTTTAAATGCCATTACTATATACAGTACTTAATATTTTCTTTCATGTCATATTGCTGAAAATTAATAGATCTCTCTTGTTGCCTTTAAATAAACAACTCAGACCTCAACTACTTTTGGAGAAGTGATAGTGAATCTTGTTAAAAGCAGCCTTTTTTAATGGGTAGAGCACTATATATATATATAGTAAATGCATTATAAATTTATTATGTGATCACTTTTCTTATGATTTTCATGTAATGATCAGTATTATCATGTATATTTGACCTTTGTAACTAACAATCGGATCATATTGTGATATTCATGTAATGATATGTAATTATTTGATCACTTTATATATATCAATCATGAATCATCTTATGATGCTCATATAATGATCAGTGTTTTATTTGATCACTTTGTAACTGACAATCATGGGATCATCTTGTGATATTCATGTAATGATCAGTATTATCATGTAATTACGCGATCACTTTGTAACTAACAGTCATGTGATCATAATGTGATGTTCATGTAACGATCAGTATTATGTAATTGCGCAATCACTTTGTATTACTAACAGTCACGTCATCATCTTGTAATGATCAGGCATACATTGGCTTTTGTGAACTGTACAATCATTATGATTTGTATCTATATATTTAATTTCTGCATTTAACTTTTGCTTCTTTATGATGTACCGTAATGTGTAATTGATGTAAATTGTAAAAAGATACCTTACGGCCATAATGAACAGCATTGTATTTATTGATTTGTGCTGCATGAATAAATAAACAATCATGTAATCATCTTTTGAAGTTCATGTAATCAGTATTATCATGTAATTATGCGATCAATTTGTAACTCCATTGTGGTCTCTGTGTTTAGATAAAAACTGTAATGCAGCTAGCAGGAGCAGTGGTGGACTTGATTGACTGTCAAGGTTCTTCTGTAATGGTCAGCTTTGAAGATGGCTGGGATTTCACTACGCAGGTGAGTTAAAATTATCAATTACAATATTTTCATGATTGTAAAGTTTGTTACCTCATAAAAGCTGCACTTGAGTGAATTCTACTAAAAAATTATCCTCCTGAAAAAATTGCGGAATCAGTGGTGGATCCAGGTACCACCCACTTGGCAATCACTATGCCCAGCGGCTGTCGGTAAACACGATTTTATAGAGAACACAACATGCTCACAACAGATTGTTTATAATGATCCGCTCAAATCGCCACCAACAATCCGCAGACGGTGTCTCCTCATCTAACGCTCACAGGGAGCCGAGTTGGATTAGTCAGCAGACGATCTTACGATGCCGTGACTGCCCGGCATAAGAATTTACAAATAAACATGAGAAGATTTGGCAGAATTTTTGCGCATGCAAAGCTTAATGTTTTGGGTTTGTAAGTAATATTACTTGGACATGTAATCTTCTCTTTTCTCTGACAAATGTTTCATTCAAATAAGCAAGATTATTATACCACAAATTCAAAGAATAAAAATTTTTTCTGCAGGTTGTATCTTTGGCAGAGTTGTTGATGGATCCTTATTACCGTACATTTGAGGGTTTTAAAGTCCTCATTGAGAAGGAGTGGTTAGCTTTTGGTCATCGGTTTACGCATCGTAGCAATCATACGTTACATCACCAGGCTAGTGGCTTTGCACCTGTCTTCCTACAGTTCGTGGACTGTGTCCACCAGGTAGATAACTTTGTCTTACGTTCTGTTGTTCTTCCTCTCTTGTTCCTGCCTTTCCTACTTCATATCTTTCTTCACTTCTTTCTCCTCTTGCTCTGACCCTCTCCCTTCTGCATTGCATTCTTACCCTCTTATCTGTTGTCTTCTTATTTTCCACCCTTTTTGTACCATCATCATCATCATTGTTGTTGAGATTATTGTCCTCTTTATCTTGCCCTAGACCACATCCTCATCTTCCTCATTCATATTTTTGTCATCTATCTTCCTCATTGTCCACATCATTCATCTTCTCTTTGACCTTGTCTACTACATCCTCATCATTTTCATCATCCTCATCTTCCTCATCATTCTCCTTATCTTTTTCATCATCTTCCTCATTGTCCACATCATTCTCCTTCTCTTTCATCTTGTCTTCTACATTCTCATCATTTTCATCATCCTCATATTCCTCATCATTCCCCTTATTTTTTTCATCATCTTCCTCATTGTCCACATCATTATCCATCTCTTTTATCTTTGACCATTTCTTCTACGTCCCCACCATTTTCATCATCATCATCATCATCATCATCATCTTCCTCATCATTCTCCTTACATTTTTCATCATCTTCCTCATTGTCTACATCATTGTCCTTCTCCCCCTTCTCTTTTTTCTTGTCTTCTTTCACATCCTCATCATTTTCACCTTCCTTAACTTTTTCGTCATCTTCCTTATTGTCCACATCATTCTCCTTGACTTGACTTGACTTCTTTCACATGCTCATCATATATATCATCCTCATCATCTTTCTCATCATCCTCCTCATCTCTTTATCTTCCTTCTCATTTTTGTTGTCAACTTGTTTTTCTCTGCATCATCATCATCATAATCATCCTTCAATAATTGTCCTTTTGCTTTTATCCTTAGGTGCATCGGCAGTTCCCAATGTCATTTGAATTCAACCAACACTTCCTCCAAATGCTAGCGTACCATTACGTATCAAACCGCTTCAAGACGTTCATGTTAGATTCAGAGTATGAAAGGTTTGAAGTTGGTAAGCAATTTCATAATAATAATTATTTTTTATGTACTGTAGCTTAATTCAAACTATACTTTGCAAATATAATTATTCCCTTGATGTAAAAAACACATAGTATTAGTTTAACACTACTTAATGTGTAATTGAACATGATTCAATTGAACATACTCACTATTCAGTAGAATACTTGAAAAGGAATGATAGTGATGATCATAATAATTGGTGGTGGTGGTGGTGGTGATGACTGTCTTCATGTTGGTCATTATGATTGTGATGATGTTTATGGTGTTGGTAAGGCTAATGATAATGGTGGTTGTAGTGCTGATGATGATGATGATGACACAACAAATTAAGTAATAGTAATGATGATTATGTTAGTGATATTGACAATTGCTTTGACTAAGGTAATTTTAATGATATTGATAATTGTGACGATGACTCTGATTATAATATAGTGTGATGATGATGATGATGATGTTGATGATGATGATAAGGTTTAATATTAACAATTGCTTTGACTAAGGTCATTTTAATGATATTGATAATTATAATGATATTGATAACTATGACGATGACTCTGATTATGATATAGTGATGATGATGATGATGAGGATGATTAGGTTAGTAGTATTAACAATTGCTTTGACTAAGGTAATTTTAATGATATTGATAATTGTGACGATGACTTTGATTATGATATATAGTGATGATAATTATAACAATGAGGATGCTGAAGACTGGGATGATAATGACACAATAGTAGTGATCATAATCATGGTGATGATGATATAGGGATGAAAACAAAAACAACCATAAATAGTGATGATAGGTATTTTATTCCTCATCATTATTAGATCCTTAACAATCTGATGCAAGTATTCCTAGCTAACACTTGATTGAAAATAATTATTGGTACTGTATTCTGGTAGATAAGTGACATATTATATTGGTACTTCTTTTCATTTGTGGTTGTTAGAGAGTTTGCTTGTGGTAGATTGTGGTGTATCGATCCAAGTAACTGATTTTGATACAGGTTTGTTATACAAGCATGGAAATGTCAGCAAGCATTTGATAGCACCATGCACCATAACATTTTTCATTTGTTATTAAAACAAATTACTATTTAATTTCTTTGGCTATGCTACTCATTCAGTAAGAAGATTTGATTATGAACTCTTGAATGTGAAGTGAGGATGTATATTGTGATATTTGTGGTGATAAAATAATGTAATGTTTATTAGAATTATGATTGGTGATATTGAACGAATGAAATATAAGCAATTTTTTTTTAACTTCATGCTTACTTGCTTAAGGTGAGTGGTGTCCCCAAACCATAATGGTTTCGATAGGCATCTATCCCCCAATTGCTGTTTTGAGGTCTTCTTTCTCCAGCCCAATGTCTGCTTTAGGAATATCTAGGTATGTAAGTGTACGTCTTCCTGGTTTTCTTCTGTGTTTAGGTGTCAAATGTATAAGTTTGGATGCAGGCTCCTCACGTCAGGAACAATGACCAGCGAATCTTGTCCTTCTTGCACTTATCTTAGTACTTATTTGCAGTAGTTGCCCATATAGTTCAGAGTTTGTTAGGTGTTGTTGCCAGTGAACATTGAGGACAGTTCTCAGTAAGCGGGTATAGCAGTCATCCAGTTCATTGGCCAGTTTTGGGGCGACTGTCCATGCCTCGCATCCATGAAGGAGGACAGATTCTACGGTAGCAGCAAATATGTGTAATTTGAATCTTTGTGGTAGAGTTGACTTCCAGAATTTTGGTACAAGCTGTCCAAACTGCTGCTTTGCTGTGTTTGATATATCATTTTCTCTGCTTAACATCCATGCTGCTAGGTATTTGAAATTCTTTACTTCGCTCTAGCTTGGTAGCATTGTACATTCTAATGTTAACCTATTCATTGTTGTATGACTTGGTAATGGTAGGATATTTTTAGAATGCCTTCCACAATAAAAGCATCTCAAGGTGCTGATAGTATAGACCCTAAACAGATTGAAAAACATAAAAACAAAAAAATTTAAATAAATAAAATAAAAAAATAATAAAATATGCAGACAAGCCATTCAAAAATTATGTGAAACTGCTGTCAAAAATGGAAATGCGCACTCCCAATGTTGAGATGGCGTCGCCATGTGTATGCGCAGGTACGCTGGCGACAGTTTACTGGACTCCAGTAGCTTCCACCTTGGCTCAAGTAACGGAGTTGCTACTTTCAAGTCGAAAAAAAATCTTAAACTAAACATCAGCTTTGTTTTGCTTGTGTTCATCCTCATTCCTACTTTGGCTACTGAAGATTCTACTCTTAGAAGTAGTCCTTGTGCCTGGTGTATTTCCTCAGAGAGGAGCACTATGTAATCAGCAAGGTCAAAGGCGGTTGCTACCACAGGCCCTACTCTTTTGCTTTTCCTTTTTATCAGGTGGAATCCAAGCTCTTCCTCTCTTCCATCAATGGCCATTTGCATAGCAAAGTCAAGAACATCTATAAACAGTTATGGAGCTAGAGTGCCTCCTTGAAGGACACCAGCCAATATATCAAATAAATCTATTTCGCCATCCGGTGAAGTTACCTTAGCTTTAGTGTTGTTGTACATCTTACCAATAGATTCTACTATAAGTATGCTATAGGCCTGTAGTATCTTTAGCATTCTACCACGATGAAGTGTATCAAAGGGCTTTTTGTAGTCTATGAATGTAAGAACTGCTACCAAGTTATTTGGCTTCACACCTTCAATCAGCCTTATACAGTAGTGCTAGAATATGACCTACTGTTGTTCTTGCAACTCTAAACCCATTTTGATTGGTTCTGAGTCTATGCTTGTCCAATTCAGGTCTATTTCTATTCAAAAGCGTCCTATTTAACTTCATAATAATGACAAATAAAGTAAATATAATAGTAGTAATTAATAGTAAAAAAAGTAATAATGATTTTAATTATATCATTTCAGAATGAATTCAAAGCACTTATCCCTGGTAATTGAATATAACGTCAATCATGTACAACTTGCAACCACCTTCGCTTATTCATTTATTTTTAAATTTGATTAATTTCGGCAAAATACAACAATACAAAATCTGAACAAAAGCAGAGGGAAAGCAAAGACATACAGTTGGTGTCACTGGTGAGGTGATAGAATTGCAAATACATGAACAAGACAAGAACAATAAAAAAGAAACAACAGATTCAAAAAACATCAGGCACTTAAAATAAATTACTAGAATGATAGTATAAAAATGTTAAAAGAGCCATTAATAAACAATTCTCAGAGCTCACTGGGGATGGTTCTGGTGAGTCGAGTAGGAATACAAAATTTTGACTTTGTTGTTATTAGAGCATAAATGCCTAAAATGTGATGATTTCATTCCGGTGATTAGTTTTTGACTTGGCTAGTACTGTATTTACTTCTATTTCGTGTAATTCATATTTCCCAATTTCATCCCAAATCTTTCACCTCCTACCAGACTTTCATTTATGTTCACCGGGTGAAGAGAGGCAAGCACATGAAGAAAGGTTTCATGCTTTATAAGGAACAAAAGCAAAATGACTTGTTGGTCGCAAACTCATGACCTCTCAACTCAAATCCCATAGCTTTATCGCTGTGCCACATCAATTCCACATTTATTGATTTTTTGAGGAAGATGATGATTTTGATGTCAGATATGTGATTTTATGATGGTGATGATTTTGGTGTCAGTGATGATATTAATGACAGTGATAATGAGCTCATTATAATAATATTAATATTTATAATCATATTTTCATTTCTTTCTCAACACCTGCCTCTCACTTTCAACATCCAGCTCTGGAATAACATTGCTTTTGATATAGCTTGTCATTTATATAACTTGCATCATTATATCATATATTTTATTCCTTCTCTTCCTCTATTGCTTTTGGTGAAATCTTGGAATCAACAGAATTATGTAAGTACTGTTGATACTAATATATATATATATATATATATTAATTTTAGCATTTCTTCATCTGTCCTTTACTTTTTAAAGAAATTATTATTAAACATTATTAATTGTATATATTGATGAGGTTATTTTGTGTTTTTAAAAAATTAATATTCATTTGTAAAAAATTAATATTAAATTTATTACTATTTTTTCAATCCAATAATTAGATCAAGTGATCAGTGATGACCGACCTCGAATGAATAGAATCGATGAAGCTGGTGATCAGGAGAGCAAGAGGCCTGATATTCGTTCGTTCTGGGAATATGTAGATCAGTTAAATGAGAAGTCGACAATATTCTACAATGTGTTCTACTCTGAGGGATCCCAGGTAAATATTTCATTATAGCGTGCTTTGTTGAAGCTGCTGATATTGATTATCAGGCCTGGAAAAGAATTTTTGTACCTACTGTAGACTAATGCCTCTACCAACAAATGTTATCTGTACAGTATATAACCCCACTCACCCAAAGTAAAGGCTCCTCCTGGTAATGCATCCAGAACACTATATAGTCCAACAGCCTGAAAGTGGTTCGAAAAATCCCTCTGGAGTAATGCGCAATGCCTCTGACCGTCGATCACACGGTCACACACTTTTTCAGCTCTATTGATCCTACTGCTGAGGCTGGTGCTGGTGGTGGTGGTGCTGTGGTGCCACTGATGCTGCCATTTCTAAGGCTGCTATGCTGAGACTTCTGCTTTATAATAATGCTTCTGAGACCGATGCTACTGCTGCTACTGCAGTGGCTGCTAATGTTGATGATGTTTATATTATATTAATATTATTTCATAATAAGCAGACACTATAGAAAAAAAAATTAAATTACAGTTGAACTTTCCTAAGTCAAATCCAAAATGGCATTGGAAAATTGTTTAACTTAGATAAAATTTGACTTATAGATTGTTAATTAATAGAAAGCACAACGATTTGGCATGTAAAATAAGATCTACTTTGAAATATTTGAGTTAAGCAAAGTCTTTAGTCAAGTTTAAGTGTACAGTAGAACCTCGATTTTACGTACGGTACGGGACCAGAGGGCGTACGTAAATCGGGGGATTCGTAAGATAGAGGTTGGGTTAAATTTGTGGTAACCTTTGACCTAATACGTACGTAACGCTCAATAAACGTATGTACGAACGAACGATGATACCTAGGCTAGACCTAGCCTCTAGGCCTACGAATAAAGCCATGTGTTAATGTTCTTATTCATCACTTTACGATGTCATAATAAAGTGTTCAAATAAAACCATGTGTCTAGTGTATTAATTCATCACATTATATCTTTTATTTAACTAAAATAAAGAACATGAAAATATTGTAAGATTATCTATACGACAAAGGTATAACTTGGGAATTCCCCTTCATGCCTATTCTAAACAACAGAGACGTGGTGTTGTCTGGGCCTGTTGAGACAAACTAAATCCATGTGCGCTGCACTGGGCGAGCCAACCAATTAGCGTTCGTGTACAAA